AGATGGGTTGCAAAGGCAGTATTTACACCATTTAAGGTCCTGCTGAAATTGACGATCTTATTAAATTGGAACTAGTCCCGATAAAGGCTTGACTGATATTAGTTGACTTATAAAATTAGCTGATATGTACTACTCATGGTTTTATTGGTGTAGTTGAAAATATTGCTGATACAGTGTTTCCCACAGGACTTTGTGAGACTATGGTAGGTGGGCATGCATGCACTGAGCTATTATCCCCTAGCTAACTGCTAAGAGAGGCTAGACGGAGCAAAGCCGCACTGTGAGCGCTGCAGCACTCTGCAAGGAAAGCAGCTAGCAGCTCCAGTTGGAGACAGACAGACGCTGAGTAAGGAGAAACGATCCACTGTACTACAAAACAGAGTGGGATACATTGGCTGATATATTTTAGGTTTTTTTTTAGTCACAGCGCTGTTGGGATCTGAACCTGTGATCCCCCAATGATGGAGAAAAGTCTTTTTGAGTTGTGCCACTTGTGTTCAATGCCGAATGAACTGGTAAATTTGAACACAAAACGCAGTGGTTAGAATAACAAAAAAAAAAAGAAACAGTTAAAGATCACGTTTTAAATCTTTAGTATAAATGTACAGTAATATTTCCCTCCCTCCATGTATCTCTTTCTAAACTCTTAACCTCAGTGTGCTGCTGTGGTTTGGTAAGGAGTTTTCTGGGTCGGTATGTAACTCGAACACTCACACTCTTATGCTGGCTTTGGAGGTATTAGTATGGTAAACCTCTGTGTTGTGCATGGTGTCCCCATCACTGCTTAACGTGACACTATCCCACTACTGCCTAACCAAGTGGAGATGTGATAACATTTAGGACCAACCACCATCAGCTATTGCAGTACCAACTGTGAGTTTACAAACAGCACAGAGGCCAGCACTGCTGATTTTACTTCTGAGCAAGGAAGCATGAGACATTAAAAGCAGAAATCCTGTCTAGTTCTGTGTGTGGATGTCTGTGAGAGAAAACAAGCAGTGAGTGTGTGTGACTTCTTTTTGTTACGTCAGTGTTTCGTCAGTCTTCTCTCATGACTTGCCGAAGTCACTACATGTCTAACTCTGAGCTCCCGCGAGTGTTAGAAATGCTTATGTCACTCTTCTCATACAGGTCACACACTGCTCGCCTTCTCTCTCTCTCTCGCACATGCTCTCCTACTCTCGCTCTCTCTCTCATGCACTTGTCATATGAGATGATAAATCTGTGTAGAGAGGCAGCAGCGAGATGAGGAACATCCTGGGATCCTGTTACTGAAGCCTGTGTGTGTGCTTGGAGAGAGAGTGAGCCAGGCGTGCTCATTTATGGCCAGGGGAGCGAGAGGCCCAGCTGAAGGGCAAGTGCATGTGTGAAAGAAAGCATAGCATTGCTCCACTCTACACATTTTCTTCAGTCCTATCACACAGAAATCCTCACAATTGCTACTAATGTTCTATTACATTTTTAGAGTGCACTTATAGTGTAGCAAAAATGTGAGTAAGATGTTATTAAGCACTTGTTACTTTTCAACAGCTGTATTTATTTTAATCATTTAAGAAGGAAATGATATGTTTACCCACAGTGCGTGCCAAGAATAGGCCATGCATGTGGTCATTATGAGGTAAATGGCCCCCTCCTTCGCTGGGTGGCAGCAGAAAGCGGAGGTGTGTATGTGTTTGTATGAGGTGGTTGCTGTTAAGTAGGACAGCACAGGATCAGGCCAGACAGCTGGCAGACTGCAGCTATGGTGCTAAATTTATCCTACCTTAAACCTTACCTATGTTGCAGACAAATACTCGTATGTGCATGTGCACATGTACACACTGGTAAATGTAGAAAAATGCTCGTTTGCAAATATGCACTTGTGCAGACTTGCACTATGCATATACTGAAAAACACATGATCAAAAAGCTAATAAAAATAAAGGCCTCATATTTAAAAGGGGTGTAACATGACAATTTTCGCTATGTGATATGGCCATGTGCAGAAGTCGGAGACCAATCTTTGTTTATTTGCAGTGAAAATGGCCTTTAAGTACAAGTTATTTGCTTCTCACCACCAGGGCAGAAAAAAAAACAAATAAACAAAACAGAAAACAGATGTTTAAAAGAAAATTGCACAGAAGTCTCAACAACAAATTCAACAAAAAACAAATTGTCAAAACAAGAGCAGTGTCTGGTGTCAGTTACCACAAGCAAGTAATTTTTATCAAAGACCAATTTTGATACACACCAAGTATAAATAGGGATTTTGTTGGGCCATTTAGAAGTATCTGAGTTGTTATTTTTTATTTTATGTATTTATTTTTTTTTTATTTAGAGCTTTGGAAACCTTTTTCTGCATTGTGTGCCTGTCATAAATATTTTTATAGTATAAAATCTAACTGTATTTGATTCACATAACCTAATCGAATTGCAAGCCCCATATCCAAAAAAATATATATGTGTATTGTGACACGCCATATTGTGACTACCTAGGTATTATATTCAGTGTTTCTTGCTTTCACACACACAAAGACAAGAAAACACAAGCCCTCTATAATACATTGGCAGATGCAGCCAAGTAGTCTCTCTAGCAACAGCAATTCTTTAGAGACCAGGGTAGTGATATGAAGAGGGGTATGTACGTGTCATGTTGCTGAAGAGAGCCTAAATGCAGTATTAGTTTATCTGTGGCTAAGCTTTGTTGACCATTTTGCCCTGTGTTACTGAAAGAGTTTCCTACTGCCCATTTTGTGTGTAACATTGAATACAGTACAATGTGGAAATTAGTACTTGTACTACAGTAGATTTTCCCAGCAACACATCTGCTAGACATCAGTGTAAGCCAAGCCCACACGTTCCAAGTCAAAGAAAGCAGATAGGCTCTACACCTCCTTTATTACACACAAAGAACAACAAGTTCAACCCTGTCTTCCTCCCACATATGTTAAAGCTCCCTCCTCTTGCTCCCACACTGCAAACTCAAAACCAAAACCTCACTATAATTATTAAAGTTACCCCAGCTACAACTGTCTCCTCCTTCCTTGGCTCAGATAAACAGACTAGGGCAGAAAATTCAGGAAAATCCTACTTTGCAGAGGTGTTGGAGTTGTTCTCTCACCTGCCCTCCAACTGTGACTCTTCTCCAGTTCATCTCTGTTCCCCCTCAGCCTTGAAAGTCCTCCATATGGGCACATATCAAGTGTAAACTCTGCCACACGAATTTACTTACCATGGCTCAATGTCCAGTATTTTCTACTACTTTAAAAAAGTGAGGCATTAAATATACTGAGTTTTGCTTTATTAGACAGGCATATTCTTGCACGTCATCAAGCCAGTGCCTGATTCAGAGTCCGCTCTTTCTGAAAAATGTTGAAGAGAAGATGATGTTTCTCACTAAAACAGAAAGGAAAACAGAAATAATGAACAAACGTAAAAATACTTTAAATAACACAACAAAAGTAAAGCTTCAAGTTAAATTGAGTTACAAAGATGATCCTTTGTTGGGGACAGCCCTAATCACAAACTGGTCAATTAATTTTTTGGCTAAATTAGTATAATCAGATGTGGTCAGAAAACAGTAAGTACATTATTGGATGCAGTTGTCCTTTTTAGTCTGTCGAATTTGGGCTGTAGTCTTGTTGAAGTAGCAGATGTGTCGTAATCCTTAAAATGTGTGTTGCTTGTTAAATGAGTTAGTGATGCTTGAGTTCGTATTCACTTTGTCTGATTTCAGTAGCTAGTCTGAATTAGCCTGACCTGATTTGGAATACACCTAATAAATAATTTTAAATGCTCTTTTGTCATTTTACCACTGTCTGTCTGATTAGCCTGATCCAAAGTGAACCTGTTCAACCTGAATCCATTCCACTGTGAGTAAACCACTTGCAGGTGTGAATCAACCCTTGCATCACCAGTGTGGTGTCTTTGTTTTGATAAGGATTTTCAAAAGTATGCAGTCTTTAAATATGAGTTGAAGCTAAAGTAAAAATTTTCTCACTTCTCCAGTTTTGCTACAGTTGACCATTCTTCTTGGTGTCTGTGTCACATTAGGGACTTGATTTGAAACGTCAGCAGGCTCTGAACTGCTACGCAGACATGTGTCTAGTGGGAAGATGAATTACTGAAGTACATCAGTATAAAACAAGTTCGCTAAGCTGGCAACAAGTGTGTTGGGACACCTATACACTTTATCACTTCTCTCTTTTTTCCCCCAACTGCTCCTTTCCATTTTCATCCCTTGATCTGCCTTGTTCTCTCTTGCTTGACTGGCCTCATGTGCTCTATGACAAGCTTAAGGAGGATATTGGTATCAGTTGAGACAAAGTGATAAAAAGGAGTGTATGGCTGGCCAGTGGCCACTGACAGCAATTAGATCATCTTGCATAACGATCTAAAGAAGTAAGACTACTGCATGGTGTACTTCTGAAGCATGTTGCCAATTTAGAAAGTGCCATCATTGGTGTTGGTGTTAAGTTGGATGTAAAGTTTGCTTCTGGCTAATGTGTAAGTGTTTCCTGGAGAATGGTCTTTAAATATTTGAATAGTATTTCTATAGCCTTTAAGACTTGTAGACAGTATGTTATGTTCATGCTCTTCTTTGTCTTATTTATCTTTTTATCTTTTTTTTCCTACATCTTTCCTTCTTTTTTTTTCCTACCCTTGTCATTACATACACAGCACCTCATGACGTGTTGCTGAGTATCCATGAGAAAGCAGTTGGACATGTTCAAATTGCATACCAGAATCCTCTGACCTTACAAAGCTCACTGTAGTCAGTTTGACGTGTGCATAGTTGCGATCACTGAAGTGCTTGTGCTTTTTCTCCAAGTATGCTGGGCCACAAAAATGCTGCATTTTTGCATCTAAGATGCTTGTTTGGATTAGACAGACCAGCAGAATTCATAGATAATTGGGGACATCTCTCTAGCATGCACTGTAGTGTAAGATATCTTGCATATAATGTAATGTGTACATAATGTTAAAAAAGCTGAACTTTATACTCTCTCTTTCTGTCTACAGCGAGCACCTTTCCTGCTCCTTCAGCTTCTTTCTACATGGAGACAGCAATGTGTGTACCAGTGTGGAGATCAACCAGCATCAGCCCGTGTACCACCTGAGTGAGGAGCACCTGACATTGGCCCAGCAAGCGTCCAGCCCCTTCCAAGGTCAGTGTCTAACTGGCAGTCTCTATCTACATGCTATTGCCTTCACATCCTAGAAGCCCAACTCTACTCCCTCTTATGCCTTTAGGTTGTTTCTTCCAGTCTGCTTTGCCAGAAGACTCAAGAATAGCTTTAACATGTGACAATTTTTTACCAGTAATAGTAATTGTCCACAGTGGTTTGTGAATATGACTGTTATTCTGAATAGCATGCGGTAATCCTCCAGTGTTTGAGAAATCCTCAAAAACGTGAGAACCCACATTATAATATTCATAAAATGGGTGCTTCATCCTCTTCTCACATTGTCCTTTTTTCCCCCCAGTTAATTAATTTGTTCCAGTCTTCATTAGATCATGGCCTCTTCCTTCCTCTTCTCCATGTTTCTTGCTCTTTTTCTTTCACAGATATTCTCTTCCTACTCTTAATTATGTCATTGCATTCTGTTATATCTGCACTCTTTTACGTTCCTTTTCTATGTCCTCCATTTTCACTCCTCTCTTCTGTCCCTCCACTTCTTTCTGCCCACCAGCCAGTTCTGATCAGAGAGAATGCTGGTGTAATTAGTCAAGCCCAGAGGCAGCACAGCAGACTCCATGTTGAACAGTTCCTCTTTAACAGCATAAGTACAATAGGGAGGGGCAGAGCACGGACCCTCAATGCTGCCCAGAGAGACAGGAAGAGGAGGGGAAGGAAGACAAGTTCATTGCTACAAATATCACCATGTTTGCCTTACAGTTGTCAGATGGACTCCCTCAGTGCCTCCCCTTTTCCAGTTCGTCTGGTCTTTAGACAGTGACGTGATTTTACCCCGTTTGGCAGATTTGATCTGTCTTGTCTGGGAGAGGTTAGAGTTGTATGGTGGTGAAAGAATGTTGTTGAATTTAGTCTAGACTGGTTTGGATTCATGTAATGCAGACTACTACTTCAGCCTGTTGCATTTGCTTGTAGACATTATTAACCAGCTCTGCCACGTGTCTTACCCTCCACCCTCCTGACTTTATAGCAAACTTCATAGCAAATTGTCAAAGTGTAAATTGTTCTGACTGAATGCAGAATGTATGTTTAGTTTGAGGTAGAAGCTTTCTGATGGTGATGGAGAGATGAAGTGAAACTGATTAATTTATTTCAGGTAATTTTGAGCAGAATTGTTTGATATGGAACTATGAATGTGTCAGTTTATGAATATTTGTCATTTTCTTTGACCCCCCTTTGGCTCACTCATTTGCCTGAATTCCCCCCCCCCCCATCCCCGACAGACCCAGTTTAATGATGGTCATCTCTGAAATGTGACCTCATAGAAGAGCCCAGAGTGAAAGCAGTGAACACTGAGCTCACTTAACTGATCTGAGTATAAATGACACAGAGAGAGGGGGAGTGAGTGAGGGACAGAGCAGCAGCAAATTTTTTTTCAATTTTGTGGGACACTGCTGAAGCTCTGCTGGCAAGGCAATGAAATTTGCTCCAAAAATAAAAGTTCACAGGCTAATGTTTGTAAATGCTTCTACCATCCACAGCTAGCGCTGTTTTGTGTCAGTGGTGTGCATGTCTCACTGGTGCCGTCACAGACGCATGATGATGAGACTGTGAATCGGCAGCCACACAGATTCAGGGCATGTTGTCTTGTGTAATCAGAAAGTTGTCAGATATGAAAAAAATGCTCCTCTGCCCCTGAGCTCTGTTGCCCGTGAGAATTGTGTTTGTTTTGGTGTGTCTGGTCTGGGTTGCCGTGCCTCTGGTGTTGTGCGTGCCGCTCACATCATTTCTGTAAACAGGTCCGGTATTAGAAATGCCATAGGTCAAGAGCAATAGTCTTCATGCCTCTAGTAAGAGGGTAGGGTGCACAGGGTCAGGAACAGGCTTAAAAAAAGGAGTTCAAATGGATTTCCATGATATGTCTTATAATGACTGAAAGCTTTTATTGTTACAAGCTGTAGCGATCACTGCAAAACTGTGGTGGTGGACGTCACTGCTGTAAATAAGTGTATTGAACCTTTTTAATTTTTATTTGTGAATTTTTCTGTTTTGAGAGCACAGCAAAGTGCATTTCAAACTATAAGTAGGAACCACTGCATTTTTGCAGTGCACCACTGGCTTGTGCACCTGTGTTATTTAGTGTAGCCTTTTATACCAGCTGGCAAGCAGCAGTTAGCAGTCATGTGTGCATTATGTGTGATTTTAAGCTTAGTGTTTTTTGCTTGTTGTTAATGGCGTGAACCTAGTAACGTAAAGATGTTCTTCAGTCACAACTCAGAACAAATGCTGTTGATATTTTTTGTTCAGTGATGCACCGCATGCAGTAGTCTAACCTAGTCAGTTTCACCACATTAGGCAAAGGCAAATATATAGACATATTTTCTTTTTTTATTTTATATATATATATATATATATATATATATATATATATATATATATATATATATATATATATATATATCAGTATTATGTAGTATTAAAGTAATTATTAAATTAACACCCCAGGTTTCTGGCAGCAGTAAGCCACCCAAAAACTGTAGTAGTGAAAAGTGTACATTTCACCCACCCTTCTATCCCTTTCCATGCAAAAGGAATGTATCCAGCTTCACCTTTCTGTCACTCATGGGTTATGGATTAGTGTCTGGAAGGCCACAGAATGACTGCACTAATGGAAGGCCTTCAGGATGATTCGTCTCCCTTTGTCTCCTCTCTTCGTTCTGAAAGCTCAATTTTATCCAGCTGACCATGGATCAATAACTAGGCAAGAGGGGGAGAGAATTTTTTCACAGAAGTAGTTTTTTAATTTTACACAAGGAACAAGACAAGCCTGTTTGCTGTAAGGCAAGCTGGTTTGTTGGAAAAGCTGAAGAACAAGCATGTATTATTTCTTGGTTAATGCAGATTTTTGTAAATCGAAGAAAAATTGTATTGATTGCTGAACACAAAGCCAGCAAAGGTGAAACTACCTCTATCTGACTTGTGCTCTCTCGTTCCTCAGGCACCTCTCTTACTGTTTATTTGGGTCCATTTATGGGCCATAAATGAGCACTCTTTGGCAGTTACAATATGTGTATATCAGTGAATGAGAATGAAATGAAAGAGGGGCCAGTGTGATCAAAGTTGACGAGACAGAGTATAGGAGACAAATGTGAGGACTTAATGTGTATGGCATCTTTTTCTTTTTCTGTCCAGTGATTCTGAGTCCCTTTGGTCTGAACGGGACACTGACGGGGCAGTCCTTTAAGCTGTCAGACCCGCCCACGCAGAAGCTCATTGAGGAATGGAACCAGTTCTACCCAATCAGCCCCAGCTCCAAGGATAGTTCAGAGGACAAGATGGAGGACATTGACTGGGAAGATGACTCTCTGGCTGCTGTGGAGGTGCTCGTTGGTAAGAAGACTCTGGTTATCTCTCCTCCTGAGTCACTTTAGTGTTTATCAGTAAACTGTGAATAAGACAGTTAACAGTCTCTTTACATGTTTCTTATTAATAAGATAAGTCAGATGAAGACAATTTGACACATGCATTAGTGTCAGAAATAAGTAAGGAATATGTAGGGATATTCAGATATTGAATTTAAAATAAACTCTGATTTTTAGCTGAATGTACTTTGCCAAAGCCCTTGCCACATCTGTGCATGCACAGATACACAGGATGCAAATAAAATGTCAACCCTAGTTTGAGCATCTATGGCCAATTAACAAAACAAAGTGGAGATGACACTGTGCTTTATCTCTGAGTCAAACTGAAGAGATTGGATATAAGTGGTAAAATAGGATCTAGAATCTGAGTCTGAGCCAGATCTCAGCTCAGTATTCCGGCTTTCATCATTATTCATTCACTAACTTACTTTTCAACTACATGATATTAGTGATCATAAGTGACAGCATTCTTTAGATAGCATCTAAATGTTGTACACTAATTTGTGTGTGTTTTCAGGTGGTGTGCGCATGGTGTATCCTGCCTGCCTGGTCTTGGTCCCGCAGTCAGATATTCCCACAGTAACACCTGTTGGGTCCTCACATTGCACTGCTGTCTGTTCGGGTGGCCACCAAGTGCCTGCTTCAAACAGAGACCCTGCCATCTCCTCTGTCACACTTACCCCTCCCACCTCACCAGAGGAGGCCCAGACAGGTACACGTGTTTGTCTTTTGCTTTAGTCAACACTAAAGTGTAATATTTCAAATTATATTTTTGGGTTTGTTTTCAAATGTGATCCAAGTTGTTATGCAGAATTGTCTTAATCAGATCTCATGAAATGTAATGCTTTATTCATCATTGTTTCTGTTTCTCTCATTCCTTTGGTCTCAAACTGCCTGTGTTTGTGTTTGTGTTTTCTGTCCTCTATTCCAGTCGACTCTCATTCTGCACAGAAGTGGATGCGGTTGCCATCAGCAGTTGATGGCTTCAGTGTAGACAACACGAGTCACCATGGAGGCAAGATTCCACGCAGGATGGCCAGCCAGGTGGTGGAGCACGTCTGGCAGGAGTGCAACATCAATCGAGCGCTGAACAAGTACGTGCTGCTGCATGTGCTCAGATCAACACAATCTTTAAAATCCCTATCAACATGGTTTCAGATATTAACATTTTTGTATCAGTAGAAAAGATATGCTGTGGAAAAAGCATTTACCAGTGTTATATTCAAGAAATATGTAAATTAATACAATTTAATAGTGGATTACGAGCTGCCGCTCAGCACTAACGTTTTATCTGTAACCTATAGCTAGCCAGCTAACTGCTGGACCATGCTTCTGAAACTGAGGTCACACAAGCCCCCGTTATGAACTGGGATGGTCATATTTGCAGACACTGTGGAGAAATGTCTTGTTTGCCTTATTGTGTCCCACACCTCTACAAAGTACAGCTGTGGGCAAATAAACCTTGATGTTAGGGGAGTTGCTAACATATTAGCTTTTTGTTGCTGTTAAGGTGGACCGTTATCTCTTGTGGTCTCGTAAATGAAGTTAATCACTTATTGATCCTGCAACAGGTGGCTACCGCAAGTAGGAAGCAGCGACTGGGCCAGTGGTGTAATGAAGCTTCCTTAAAATTACTAATAACAAAGTTAGAAAGGGATAAATTACCTACTTTTCAGAGTTTTGACTGGGAGTTGGAGCAGCAGAGGAGTAGTGACTTTGCGAGAGAAAAGAACACGCGAGTAGCTGAAGTATACATATTGCTAACTGTGATTGATACTTAGGCTGATATAATGTCACCAAATTCAGTCTTGCCCAACTCAGATCGAACAGAAGAAAATGGTAGGAAAAAAAGTTTTTAAAAATCTCTCCACTAGTGTCGTTGTTTTTCTACCAGTTAATATTAAAAACATCACAAAATCTTGAAAAAGAGTAAGACAGTGGCTTTAATCCAGCATAAGTAGATTTTTACTTGAAAAAAGAACAATCACAAACACTCATGAGCACACCCATTAAATGATTTTACTCACTAAATTATTATTTTTTAATTTTATTATTATTATTTTTTTTAAGACGCAAGTTCTCTGCCACAGCCAATGGGACCAGTGAAGAGGAGGTGCTGGAGAAAATGGGCTCCTGGGATTTTGTTGAATCAACACAGAGAACAACTTGCAACTGCTCAAGGTATACACACACACACACACACACACACACACACACAAACTGCATGCTGTACTACAGACACAATGTCTTCAACATTTGGTCACAGTTGTTACTTTGATGACCAAATCCTTCACCTGCGTGAATTATTATTTTGGCGACTGTCTGTTTCGAATGTTATGCCTATGCCATAACATTTTTTCTAAACCAGAATTCTCAGACAAGAAGACCAAATGGCTACAATTCTAGGACAAAGGAATTGGTAGAAATGACTATACGGACATCACATGGGGAAAAATAGGCCATTGGTATAACATTGACTATAAGACCACTGTGGAAATATAATAGCAATATTAAGTTATCTGGGTAATTTAGACTTCTGCTACAGCATTAGACATCTTTACTCTGTAGACATACTTCTGTGTTCTCAGTTTTACTGCGGATTTGTTTAAGCATTTAGGCTGTTTAAACCTCACACCAACTGGCAGCAGTCTACTTAAATGTGCAATGTGCAAAAACAATACCAGCACTATTGATGGATACTTAGCAAGCATTCAGGGATGTGTAGCATCTGTGACTTTAAGGTGTGTTGCACCTTTTTCAGTATTAATGACTGATTCTTATTTATTTATTTTTTGTGCACAGTTTGTAAAGTCATCTACATTCACCCTGTGACCCTAACATTTGATTATGCACTTGATTCTTTCTATCAGCTGACCTTCATATAAATTTATAATTTATCATTCTGTTTATTTGGGTTTTATTCTTTAGTTAAAGAGACACAGAAGGAGTGTTCTTCACAGGATTAAATTAGGTTCATGGTCCAAAAAGGCCTGTCACAATTGTTAAATTCTAGCTGACGATTAATTGTTATAGGATTAACTGTGATTATTGTTTAATTGTTCAGTTTGTGCAACTAATAAAGTCTACACCACCTAAATTGGTTTGTTAGCTTTCTTGATTAGCTAGCTCCTTACTCTTTAACAAATAAACGTTCCCACTAAATATGTTATAGTACACAGTTAAAAGTTAGAACTCTAAGTTAAACCTAGAAAAGTTGGAAGAAAAGTGATTTTATTGTATTTATTTATTTATTTATTTATTTATAAACATTAATTGGGCTCAAGCCAACTAATAAATACATCCGGCTCACGTTATGCTGGTTACAGTAAAGCGTGACTGTGAAATCTTATGATGTTTGAAAATAATTGCAGTTATATTAAATAATTGCGATTATCTAAAATAATTGTGAACAGACAATTGTGTTATAATTGTAACAGGCCTAGGTCTGGCCATGGCCACTGCCCACAGCAGTCTAGGTTTATGAGAAAAACACAGGCAGACAATGTGGACCGGGTTGGGATGGAAATAGTACATGCAGATCTGTTTCTTTAAACTAGAATAAAGAAACTTTCCACAACCCCCTTTTGAGCAACTAGGTCTGTCACAATTATTGCAATAATCGCTTAATCGCAGTTGCATTCGCGAGTGATTGCAATTATTTAAGCTGACTGCAGTCATTTTCCACAGTTGTTAGATTTCAGTCATGTAACGCTGCAACAAACAAAATGCGAAGTGGGTGCAGATAAATGTCAATAACCAAATGACCAAGAATAGACAATCAAATTATTGATAATTGATTAGTTATTTATATGACAATGTTGGAAAGTGTCAGTGTGAATGTGTTTTTGGTTTTTGTGAGTTAGGGCTTTCTTCTGAAAGTGTGTTTGCGTGCACTCCTCCGACCACAGAGTAGTCTGTGGTTGCTGTGTTTACATATGTAAACTTAATTAAGTCCTTCAGGCCTGTACCTCAACGGCACACTCAATGAAAGAAGTGTAAAGGTCAACCCTAAATTTAGGCTTTAGGCTTGATTCCAGTTGTGACATTTGCTCCCTTTGGTCAGGGGTTCATGAGCAAGTAATTGGCTGAGTTCTCATTGGGAGGGAAGAACAGCTGGACTGACTAAAATCCCACTTAAATCTTTGTTATTTAAAGGATTGCCTGATAATGTCAGAAAAGCAAAAGTCTTCATTTAACACTTGACTATTGTGTGCTTTTTCTTCTTAATTGGTCATTAACTTGATCTTTATTTAAAACATGTTTTTCCTCTCATATCTCAGGCACAAAGCCCTGAAGCAGCGAGTGGGCAGTACACAGGGCCAGGCTGTTTCAGCTGGGCAGGTGCAGCAGCAGCCCACCAAGCACAAAGCAGGAGAGAAGCCTGAAAAGGGTGACAAACAGCAGAAGCGTCCACAAACGCCCTTTCACCACCGGAGCTCCATCTGCGACGATGTCTCAATGGAAACAGAAGCCTCGGCAGGACAGCGGTTGTCTCTCCGAGGTCAGGACGGGGGCAGATTCCCTGGCCTCCGCCCTTCCGATGTCTGCGCTGTGCCGAAACCACCTCAGCTGCACACAGGGGGTGGAACAGCAGGCAGTGTTGGTGGCCCATCAGAAATGGTGGGCTCCCCTCAGCCACCTCCGCTCAGCCCTCACCCCTGTGATCGGGGAGAGGAACCTTCCGAAGCCCTAAAGAATCCCTCCACACCTCACAGCCAACACTTCTACCCTCCTTCTTCAGAACCTTGCCTCCTGCCCCAGAAGGGCCCAGATGATCCTCGTGTTGATTCTCTCGCTCCTCCCTTCCATCCAGCTTTTCCTGAAGCCATGGAGCCCACAGTGTATGTTGGGGCAGCAGTAAGCCTGGAGGATGATGGAAGTCATGTGCCCTGGAGATTCTTCAACCTTCCACGCAGGAAAGACTTGGATTTCCCTACACCCTCTCTACCTATGGACAAACTGAGAGAAGAGGCCTTGCTGGCAGTTGACGGAAATATGTCAGTTACTGAGTAAGTATTTTATTGCACGGTTAGTATACACACTAGTAGTGGGTGGTATACAGGATCATCTAGTATACTGATTGAAATTCTTCTCAAGCTGTTGGTTGGGTCATAACTTTTATGCCAGTAAGCTGGTCTCTTGTGTTTAGCCTTTAACTTAGCATGTACACCAGCCCCCTTGCCAGGCTTCTGTTTTCTCTTGCACCGCCTGCAGCATTGCCTCCCTTTGTCAGCTCTCTCAGATGACTTCACAGTCTCTGGGCCTGGTCCTCACACTCTCTTTGCTGCTGTCTGCTGCTTAGTGTAAATGACTCATAATATTTACCAAATCCCAGCAGTGTCTAAGATCCAGGCATGAGTTTATGGGATACATGTATTAAAGAAATTATTTGCTTATGCATACACACAATACATTGTTTTATGTTGTTCAGTCCTGTTTTTACTATATTGTGTAATAAATATTTTTTAAATAAATGTAATTCATTTTAAAAATAAAGGTATGTTCCACAATAATACATCACTGTTAACCTATAAAAATGGGTTTGCTTTAGCATCTAAAATTGTTGGTGAAATATAACCTAATAACACTGAACTAATTAATTGCCTATAAATAGACCAGTCAAAGGTAGCCAAACACCTATATATTGTGTACATGACAACTCAGTCACAACTAACTGGCACTCTAGCTGTGTTCAGTGTTCAAGCCTCAATTCATTATAAGTGGAAATGCTGGTCTTCTTGCCTGGACAACATTCCTGGATCTCTAGTTAAAGACAATAATTGCAATCTCAAGAGCAATATCATTCAGAAAAATCACAGTGAGAAGTTTTGCTCAAAATTGTTCAGCTCTACAAGATATAAATTTGGCCTCAGTCATGCTCACTGGTTTATCTGGATGCCTGCAGACACGTGTATATAACCTTGTTTCTCAGTTCTCCACCAAAAGCAATTGAAAACCTGGAGTACCTGGAGTGAAGTCAATGACAAAGGAGTGTATTGTTCTGTTCTGTCAGATTTTTAGTTTATCATAGCTAAAACATCAGTGTACTTGTTGTTGGACCGCCTTTGTTGGTAGCAGTGGTGATGTGGTAGTTGTCTGATCTTTAATTTGCAGTGGTCAGGATCAGACTCAGACATTCTTTTCTCTTAAGTAGGTTTGTTTAGCACACACACACACAACCGACCCCCATCTGATGCTGGGCAGAATGTTCTATGTCTGGTGGTTGTGGTGCACATACGTCACGTTAATCTCTGGCTATGTGCCCTTTTGACATCATTCATAACTAATGTGCATGCACAGCACTGCTGCAGACTGGGGAGCTTATTGATTCCTTCTCTGATGACCATATGTATCGTCGTAATACACGCAGACACACCTACTTCAGTGAGGAGCTATTATGAAAGATACTGAATGTGCAAAATTGAGAGTGAAAGATCAGTTTAAGGATTTGACAGTAGGAGAAAAACACAGCCAGTGGTGGCACTATCTGTAAGTGTCTGTATTATGTAATCTGAGAAACCAGTGCTGCTATGAGTGCCTCTGCAGTGCTTGTCCGTTCTTCTGTTCTCAGTGAGTTTAATTACTGCATTATCTGGGTCTTTTTTTGGAGGCTAATATCTGGCAAGTGTCTTGTCATCCTGTGTCAGAGTAGTAGTGGACTGGTCTGTCACAGAGAACAGCAGCTGATCCAAAGCCTTCAAACAGATTTTTAGTTGAAAATCTTTTGAACAACAAATGGTAAAGAAAGAGAGAGTTTGAGCTTGAAACTCATGCATCAGATCTGCAGATTTGCAGAACCTCTGAAGGTGCAGGTTGTTTTGGTAAAGCTGTGGAACCTCTAACCTATTTCATACAAGCTCCTTATTACACTTCCAGCCTCTAATGAGTGAAACCTTTCCAAACAAATGCTTATTTCAAAACTGATGGCTGTGTACTGTTTGTGTCTGCAGGTTAATGGCCACCTCCAAGCATACTCTGAAAGTGTCAGAGGAGCGCATCCAGACCTACCTGCAGCAGCAAAACCAGCATCTAGCTGCAGCCATCGCAGACAGTGACCACGAGCCCGAGGTGGACCCCTATGCCTTTGTAGATGGGGATGTGAAGTTCACCTTCTCAGATAAGAAAGATAAAGCAGGCGGGGAGAAAGAGCAAGGAAAGAAACACAAGGTAAGGGTCTCTGACCCCAACCTCACTACTAGTTCCAGCAGTGCAGTGTTCCCTCAAAGGTTTTAGGATTCGAACAGTAGGACAGAAGTCAGAGGTTAAGGAAAGGATTTGGAGAGTGTAAGTCAATCTGACTGGGTTATGGGAGGAAAAGTACTGTACAATTTTCTTTTGCTCTGTGTCCCGTCTCTCTCTCTCTTTGTCTCCCTCTCTCTCTTTCTCCCCCCACTCCTCTTTCCCTTTCACTAGCAGTACCTTTTAACAGGCAAATAAACCCTGTTCACTGAACCGTACCTCTTAAGCATATTATTCTGTATTCATACTGTGTGAGATCTTTTCATACAAGTTTCCTCACCCCACATGCTTGTTGTGGTTTTTCACTACTACTACAAGGGAGAGTTCCTTTGTGGCTACTCTGAGCTTTCAGCGCATTACAGCATAAGACCTTGGGGGAAGACCTTTATTGCGCTTGCTGTATCAGTACTAGGAGAGAAAGTCTTAAAGATAAGGAGAGAACAAAGAGGCTGCTTTTTCATGTAGTGTGGTTTTTCTGATAGTGTTTTAAATGCATTAGTGACCAGTCTATTTACACATAAACACACGCACACACACACACTGCAACTGAAGAGTAATTTGTTTCACTACTCATTGTGCTCAGATTATGACCTGCTTAGCTCTTGTTGTCCAGCCCAGGGCTGAAATATTGATTATTGGCTTTCTGCCATTAGCATGTGTAGTTGTTTGTTGTTTTTTGTGGTCTGGATGTGAAGTATGTCTTCAAGGAGAAGCAGATTAGAGTCTGTAGTCACAGATAAAGAGCCTGCAGCAGAATTAAATCAATGACGTGTTCCTCTAGCTGCCCGTGTGCCGCCTCTCCCAGAGAATTTGCTCCCGTTACGAGTACTGTTTTCTCTCTCTCTCACTTGCTTAGTTTTTGTTTTTTTGAGAATAATTTATGACAATGTTTGACATGGCACTGTCTGACAACCTATTTAACTTTTCTTTTTTTTTTCCCCCTCCATCCTTTACATTGTGGGAAATTTTAATAAGAAATGGACCAACAGAAATGGTCAAGAATTAGTTGGAATACAGTGTTCATACATTATCTTACATAAAAAAATTCATGTTTTTTCCTTCACTTGTGAAGTTACCATTTTGGACATTGAAGGTTTTGTCTCAACAGTGACTATATGCTCATCATGCCTGTAAAATCTGGTTTAAAAAAAAGAATACAATTTTTTGAGAATTATCATTATATTTTATTTAAAACATAATATTGTGAAATGAATATACAAGCCATCTTATAAATGTTAACATTCAAATAAAACACCTCGCTACACTTTACTCAGCAAGTTAGAATGCGTTTGTTGTGTGTTTGTGTTTCTAATCACAGTTACATAAGTGTTGCAGTTCACCAGGTCAGAAGCACAAATCTATATTCCTGTGCGGATAAAGTGTAACCTAATTCAGTGTCTCTGTCTCTTTCTTAGGGGGAGGATGGAAGCGCTGGTCCATCAGATGGTAAGACATTATGCTTCTCGTTTCTAGTCAGAGATGCCAGGTACAGCATATTCAGTAAAGAAAATATTAGGTTAAGTGAATGACATATGCCGTGATAGAAGTTTGGTCAAATGTGTACTAGTTTGTAATAGCAATGTTGTCATTTTGACTTCATCTCTAGTCTTTCATTATGAGTTTTTGCCAGATGCAGATCAACTGTTCTCTGCCTGTGAAGTTTTAATGTGTGCAATATCTCCTGAAATGGCCTTTTCCAGGTTAATATCAAACAGAATGAATGTTGAATGCACTCCCTTTACACTTCCACACTCCTGGAAGTCTGTAATTGCCAGATAGACCGTGCTAAGCAAGACAACTTCTGTGTCCATTTCCTCCATGTATTGCTACCTTTTTCACATCTTTTTCTTCTCTGATGACCTCTCTCATCCTCCCCTGCAGATGCTCAGCGGGGAGCAGCCCACAAAATCGCTGCCTCCACCAGTCTGATCCATGACTCTGACCTGGCTGTTTCTATCAAAGACCTGGACAACCTCTTCAATTCAGATGAAGATGAGCAAACGGTTAGCTTCAGAGAGACATCTCATAATAATTTGCTGCATTGCCTGTCTCACTATCTTGCACACGCACACAAACTTGCTCTCTCTGTCACTGTCGAGCAAGAGCAAAGCTTCAGCAGTGGAGTCTCATAACAATATACAGTGAATGTTCCTCCTGTATGACTTTTGCTCTTTCTATTTATTTATTTATTTTTTACACAGTTTCAGACATTTCAGATTATTATTGTAATGATTCACACAATTATGTGATCCAACAAATTTAATTAACTTTTAATAAACAGAATAACGCTGGCAAGTTCGCGAGCTGTTCTAAATGTTTCACTCAGACTTAAGTTCAATATCAGTCTTACTCATACATTCACAGCCTGTGTAAAAATAGGTTTATAAATGCTCAGCTTATTGATACCGCAATATACAATCATGACCATTTTGGTAGTTTGAGCATATTTAGTCATATAATCGCAATATGACATTTTGTCTGTATCCTTTGGAGGGTGTCATATGTTAACTGCTGACAATTCTTACTTGCACAAGAGTCTAAACCCTGCACTTTTGGCTCATATTAAATAGGTCTTTTTGTCTTTTTCACTCCTCAGATGAATGGCTTGTAAAGATTCCCATTCTCTTCTTGAATGGCAGTCTTGCTGTGAGATTTTGCTCTAAGCAGAAATCAGCTGATACATTTTGTAGTAGCTGACATGAGCTTGTATTCCAGGCCCTGCATTATCACATGACTGCCAGCAAGATGAGTTCAGTCATGAGCTAAATAAAACACTGTTGCATTTTAGAACTATTTTAGTAATACTTTTTCTTTTCTCCACCCCCCCAAATAATTTTGTAGCCTGGTGCCAGGAGAGCAGTGAATGGAACGGAGGAGAAGTTTGGCAGTAAGGAACCGAAGCCAGCCGCCCTGGACCCTGTGTCATGTATTAGTGAGTATAATCTCTGATTAAACAAATCAGTCTACACAGAAGCGCAAGCTTATAAATTCTTATACTGCATTTAGACAGGCAGTCAAATCAATGTTTTTTCCACGACATCTGCATCTGGTATTTTCCCTGAAGTCTAAGCAACAAACATTTTTGACAATGCTTTTCTTCACTATTGATTTGGGCAACAGATTTTAACAAATGAATCCCTACCAGTAGAATATCTAAACACATGCCTTTTCACCAGTGATTTCTCTATGAAGCACCCCCTTGTTAAGTTGATGAAATTTCTCTCCAAGGGGCTAGAAAAAAATGTAGCCTTGCACATGCAGGCTTTTGTTGACAATAAAAAGCTGGTTCAACGTCAGCCTCCTAAAAGTCTAGTAGTAGCTTTTCAGAAATTCAATCATGTCTTAACAGCAATAGTGACATTTAAAGTCAAGGCTAGTCCTGACATAATTAACACAAGTAGAATCTGTCTGTCAATTAGGAGAGGGAACTGTAGTGAATGAATTGTGTGCTGGCTAAGAGTTGAAATGAATGTTTATGGACTTTATGATCTATTTTCTTTTGATAATGAACATTCATATAGCAAAGAAAAGAGTCTGAAAGGACATATTAGAGCACTGTAGCGTCTCTTCTTCTGTTTCATTATTACTTTTTTTCACCCCCCCTTCCCTCTCCTTTCCTGTGCTTACAGGTTCAGCAGACCTGCACCAGATGTTCCCTACCCCTCCATCTCTGGAGCAGCACATAATGGGCTACTCACCAATGAACATGGGCAGTAAGGAGTATGGTAACATGGAGCCCGGGCCCGGCCTCACCTCTTTGGATGGCCCATCTGCTTTGACAGGCCAGTTTAAGATTGAGGTGGAGGAGAACTTTTGCAGTCCAAAACCATCAGAGATCAAGGTAGGTCTTCTATTTTTCCAGGTTATCATTCTACAAGCCAGCAAGTAATTTGCACAGCAAATCACATATGCCTAAAAACCAAAGTGAATCACTAAATCAACCAAACGATTTGGTCATCTTATGATGGCTTAAGGGACTGTTGTGACCAGGCAAGATCAGAGCACTCACATAATCAAACAGTAATAGATATACTCATGGCTGAGGTCAAATAAACAAATATTAAACCTTCAGGGCCAGTTTTTTAGACCCAGGTTAAACCTAGACGGGGCTCCCAAGTGTTGGCCCTATCATCAGGAGATAGTGAGTTCGATCCCAGGTGATGCTACAGTCATCCGTAGCCGGGAGTCCAAGATAGCACAATTGGCCTCGCTCTCTGGCTGGGTAGGATGGCCCCCCTTCTCCCCCCATCACTCAACGCAATGCTAGTCAGTGCAGGCGTCTGTTAGCTGATGTAACAGATCTGGTGGTTGGCGCTTTCCCCCGAGCGCGTTCGGCTGTCAAATGACGTTGCGTGAGCGGCAGTTCGAAAAAGAAGCGGTGGTTGGCTTCACAGGTCTCGGAGGAAGGCTGTGTTAGCCTTGACCCTCCTAGCATTGAGAGTATCGTGTGATTGGGGGAGTCCTAACTAGCAGGTGGAATTGGAGACGACTAAATTGGGGAGAAAATTGGGTAACAAAAAAAAACCCTAAGCCTAGACTGAAAAGAATTTTTAAATAATTAATTTTTGACACTGTAATTTACTTTATGATTAGGTTTAATAAATATCCGGCAAACTAGCACAGTTTACATTTTTTTATTCAGAAAATAAATATTTTCATGCTGGGATATTCAGATATTGTTCATTTAAAATGTTCATATGGCAGAATTATAGGTATGCACAGTGGTATTGGAATCAGTATCAGCAAATAATTAATCAGTAACAGTGATTGTTTGGTGATGCATTACTGTGCTGAAGTACATTGAAACCCTCTACAAATAAATGTTACGTTTCTCTGTAATGCTAAATCAAGAGAATCTAGTCCCATTTTCTACATTTCAGGAACATCTTTATGCATCAGTATCTGCATCAACAGATGTATGTACATGAGAAATACTGGGTAGTGGAGTCAGCCCAGAATTCCCATATTGTTGTATCTCTACAAAAATGTTTGTGTTTATTTTTAGTACATGTCTGTGATTGTTGCAGTAATCTATTCAGACAACTTTGTTTGATTTGCTGGTTTAGATTTTTCTTGTGGAATGAGGTGGTAATTGCGACATATCTGATACTGATAATCTGGCTTTCTACTGCATCATTATACGCATATATGCTTTTCTATACATATACAATCCTGTTTCTTTTCATCATTAGACAGTAGTGAAAATAATTAGCTTTAAGCCATACCTGCCTGTAGACATAAGCCCTGAAGCTGACTGCTCATTTTATCATGGTAATGGATCTGAAGATTTTTTTAGTATTTTTTTTCTGATTCTCCTGTCTCTTCCTGCTAATCTCTGTTTCACAGGATTTCTCCTTTGTGTATAAGCCCGAGTTGTGTCAGTCTTTTGTGGGCTGCTCAATGTTTGCCCCTTTGAAAACGCTACCCAGTCAGTGTCTGCCTCCCATTAAGCTACCAGAGGAGTGTATGTACCAGCCCAGCTGGTCCCTGGGCAAGCTGGAGCTTCTCAACACCGTACCTACCATGAGCTTCCTGAACAGGGACAGGTGAGTAGCACGCCTGCAATCCTTCCACATAATTACTGCATAGTTGCATACCAATCCTAATAATCATACCATGCAGCTTTTAAAAAGTCACACAAGTTAGACATTAGGCTTGAATGAGAGGATTTTTAATGGTTGATTAACTTAAGATAAACTCAGGCTTAGCTTTGGTGGTGCTGTTTGTTACATTTATGAAATGCCTTATCTAATGATTGCTGATGATCTATGTTATTTTGCTGCTTACTGCAAAGAGGAACTCTCTGTACTCTTTGGTATTATGTTATTTAAATTACTACCATCATTGTTTGGTATTATGTTATTTAAATTACTACCATCATTCCACTAAAGTAAGATGGTAGTGCTGGAATTCTTGTTGCTTTGCAAATTCTGCAACAAGCATTTTTATTGTCGCTTGTCTCAAGCATGAGGAATTTTCAAATCATAAAATGTGGCTAGCATAAATTAAGTTTATAAATTACTAACGTAGTTGTGCATATGAGGTGAAATCTGAAGTGTATTTAAGTGCCACAATACTGATACCGATACTGATCTGGCTTTTTGTAATGCATCATTGTGTGCATATCTGCATTTCTACAACACATACACAAACCTCTTTTCATCATCAGAAAAAGACTGCTGTCTTTTGATCCATTTCAGTTCCCTCATACGCACACTTCATTCTTGCACAACTAATAGGAAGGCAAGGTATAAAAAGAGTACAAAGATTCAGATCATTATATTATAGCCAGCTGTCACTGCTGTCTTCCAGTTGGCCTTTTCAGTAATGTAAGCAAGATTTAATGCATTATGCATGTGCAGGTGAATTGCCTTCTTCAGTAGTGTTCACACAATTAAGGAATGTGGTAACAGAGTTTATTACATTAGTCTTTGTTTATCCCGAAGTAATCTCTAATTACTTTTTGACAGGCATGACTATTTTTGTGCAGTTGAATGGAGTTCATAAGTCAGCAATAAACATGACTAGTTATTTAATTTTGTGTGATGTAACATGGGTAATAGTTGTTAAATATAATTTGTCTGAGTGGAATCCAAATTTAGTAGCATATTTCTGCTATTTTCTAGATGTGAGCACTTCCTTTTATTGTAATAGAAGAAAATGTGCTTGAAACAATAAAGAGGGGAGAGAAAGTGAGCTGGGGCTTGAAGGAGTGCTAGTAGTGTAGCATGAAGCTTGGCTCTAAGGTTCAGACTGATTAAAGTTAGTTAGTCCAGAGCTTGTTAGGCTGCTTTTAACACCTACTACAGCTCAGCAACACAGCCATCTCTTCAAATGGCAATCTTTTAGAACCCCACCAGTTTTAAAGGCCACTAAGAAACACACAGGCGTGTACATATACACACACACAGTGTGGGACAAGCTGTGCTTTCATTCCTTTCACAGCTGTCTGTTGGTCTGTCTGTCCAAAAATAGGCTTTCTCTCCCTAGTGAAGGTTCCTGGAGAATGGCAGTACAGTACTGCAGCTGATGAGTGACTGCTCTGATTATTGCAGTCGGGATATTTTCAGAAGCAGCAACCATGTACAAAATCAAAATCCTTTTTTTGTCCGGTGGTGGTGGATCATTTCATTTAAATAGTAAAATAAAATCCATTGGTGAAAATATTTTAAAAAGGCAGCTTAAAATCTCTACGCATTATACCTTGCCCAGTTCTGAATTTTTCAGAATGTTGTAGCAGTATGGTTGTCAGTTAATCCACTCTTGTATTTAATGTGTAATATTAATGTCTCTTCTGTTCTGCCCTCACATCTTTCTTGCAGTAACATCCCTAGTGTGGGCAGCGCCATGGAACAGGACTATAGCCAGTCATACACCCCTCAGACACACACACCCTTTATATCCAACAGCGCGCCACCCAGCAACAGTGGCACAGGGATCCTCCCCTCCCCTGCCACTCCACGTTTCTCCGCCCCAACCCCCCGGACGCCTCGTACCCCCCGCACCCCGCGTGGCCCTGCCAGCGTCCAGGGCTCCCTCAAGTATGAGAACTCGGACCTATATTCGCCCGCCTCCACACCCTCCACCTGTCGGCCACTCAACTCTGTGGAGCCGGCCACCGTGCCTTCCATCCCGGAGGCCCACAGTCTCTACGTCACCCTTATCCTGTCTGAGTCGGTCATGAACCTGTTCAAAGACTGCAACTTTGACAGCTGCTGCATTTGCGTATGCAACATGAACATCAAGGGTGCCGACGTGGGTGTGTACATCAGCGACCCCAACATGGAGGCACAGTACCCGTGCAGCTGCGGCTTCAGTGCCGTCGTCAACCGCCGCTATGGCAATGGGTCGGGCCTCTTCCTGGAGGATGAGCTGGACATCATCGGCCGTGGCTCGGACGTGAGCAGGGAAGCAGAGAAGCGCTTTGAGGTGCTGAGAAGTTCCTCATTGGAAAAGAGCGGAGGAGGAGTGAAGGACAAAGTTCCAGATGAGCTGATCTTGCTTCTGCAGGATCAGTGCACCAACCCTTACTCACCGCTTTTGGCCACAGAGCCAGAAGGAACCGCCTCCAGGGTGCCAGGGGGTGTAGTCGTCCCTCCCTGTGTGCGCGTAGAGGAGAGGGACTTCCACAACGACTGCTACCTAGCCCTGGAACACGGACGACAATTCATGGACAACATGTCAGGAGGCAAAGTGGATGAGACACTAGTTAAAAGCACCTGCCTGCACCACTGGGCCAAACGTAATGGTGAGTCTTGATTTTGGAGCCTCATTTAATGAAGCTTGGTCATCTCTCACTCACACTGTGTGTGTTACTGAATGATGATAGCAGTTTGGAGAAATTATATAAGTTAATTACTTCGTTATAGTATATTATTAGTAGATGTCGTAAGTGTGCGTACACCCCAAAATAACGAGTAGAAGTGTTTGTTTATTTAAATGCTTATATTCACAGGATAGCTACTTTATTGTTGTATTGACTTAGTGCTGTCTTTTTTTCCCTCTCGTGTTCTCAGCAGTGGATGTGAGTGCTCTGTGCTCACAGGATGTGTTAAGAGTGCTCCTGTCCCTCCAGCCTGTGCTTCAGGATGCCATCCAGAAGAAAAGAACTGTGCGCTCATGGGGCGTCCAAGGACCCCTTACCTGGCAGCAGTTTCACAAGATGGCTGGAAGGGGGTCCTATGGTAAGCAGCAAGTAATTGCTCTAAAGCCCACTTCCATCAGACGTGGTAACATGCCTCATGATCTGCCGTTCCATTACATGTTTACAGTTTTGCGTAGTGGTTTTGGCTCACCACGCATGCCACATCGCATCTGGTGTTAAATCATCTTAACAGTTAGGTGGTAAGACTACAGACATTCCACCCTTATGACAGCTAAGTACTCTTCTTGAAATGGTGATATTCTCTCAGCGTTCCCCATGGCAGCAATCCAGTATAAGGACACCTGCATTCTAGGAGGGCCCCAGCACTACAGGTTTTAGCTTTTTACCCTCTTGAACCAACTTGAAAGCTAATTTTTAAGCTTTAACATTTGGATCAGGTGCTGTAGAACAGGGAAAACATAAAAATGCTATGGTGCTGTAGATTACCTGGAATGCAGATTAGCATTGCTGGATTAGGGTGAGGCATTCAGTCTTTTTACATTTTCTTTTTTCCTTCCCCCCTTTTAGGCACAGATGAGTCCCCAGAGCCTTTGCCCATTCCTACGTTCCTGGTGGCTTATGAGTATGACTTTGTGGTGCTGTCTCCCTTTGGTCTGCCCTACTGGGAGAAGCTACTGTTGGAACCTTTCGGCTCCCAGAGAGATGTGGGCTATCTGGTGCTCTGCCCAGAGAACGAAGCACTACTCAATGGAGCCAAGAGTTTTTTCAGGGAGCTAACGGCTGTCTATGAGGTGTGTATGATGGAGAAAACTGCTTGTTTTCTTCCTTTTAGTGAAATAGATATGGCTTTGGTTGTGTGTTGTTGATCCTGTTTGTTGAAATCTGCCTAGAATTGTAATTTAAGTGCTTCTCAAACCTGAAAACTGAATCTGACCTCTAAGCAAGTAGTGATACTTAAGATAATCTGTCCTATGATTATAGCAAAGATTACAGCTGCTTAGCAAACAGTGAACTTGTTAATGATTTTGTCTTGTCTTCACCCAATAGTCTTGCAAGCTCGGTCAGCATCGACCAATTTCCAAAGTGCATGCTGATGGAATTGTGAGGGTGGGAGGGGCTGCAGCCAAGAAGCTATCAGAGCAACCAATTTCTGATTGGTTCCTGAAGGGAGTCAGCGGCACCAGTGAAGCCTTTGCCAAGCTTAAGTTGTTTGCTCAAGTCTGCAGGCATGACCTCGGTAAGTTTTTCTCACTGAAGCTTCTTTAGCACAGAACAGTAGTTACAGCAGTTATTGCAATCATTTTGTTATAAAGATGAAGAAAAGACGATGCAGGTTGTGCAGACTAATCAGAGCAACTGTGATAACCTAAAAGAAAACAAACACAAACTTAGAAACATTTTGTGCGAAACCAATATAGGGGATTTTCTCATGCCGAGGGCTGCTTTATGATTTATTTCTTTTTTTTTTTTAGCTTTTGCCATCACTGGACTGTGAGCAAAAAAGTATCACTAGAAAACTGATAAATTTGTTACTAGTTATCATCAGTATTCCTGATGGCATCAGTTTGTTGTTGCATTAGACATCTTTGAGAACCTTAAATAATAATGGTCTTTTTATTGCTCCATTTCTCTCCCAGCTCCATACCTCGCTACACAGCCATTGGACGGTTCCTTACTTACTCAGCCAAGTCCACCTCCTTCCTCCACCCAGTCATCATCTGTGCAGTCCTCAGGCTTAGCCTCTTCTAACCCCCAAACTTCACAGGCCTCTGGGGGCTCCTCTCTCACCAATAACACTGGCCCGGGCAACAGTGGCCCAGGGTTACCAGGCAGTACCAGTAGCACTCCTTCTTCAGGCCCTCAGAACAGCAGCATGCAGCCTAGCAAGCCAAGCTCCTTCCCTCCCTTTGGGGGAATGGGAGCCCAGAGCAACAGCTCACAATCTGGGGCTCTGGGCCAACAGGCTGGCACCCAGAACTCAAACCTCTCCGGAGATAGCTCATCCAGCACCAGCCAGACTCAGGGGCCTTCTGAACCACCCGAGAGGTATGCAAAACCTAGACAGCCTTCAAAAACCTGTGCATCTCCTTTCCAGGCATTTTAATTTCCATGTCATTACTTTCATTAGCAAAACCTTGTAAAATGCTTACACTGCAGAAGGAAAAACATTCTTAATTGTAAATTAATGTATCAAGAAGTAATTCTGGATGATTTCTGTTTGTCCATTTCTCAGAAATTGTTTAAACAGTGTCAATGGTAGCTGGCGTTTTTAGATAGATACAATCATCTGTTCAATAGAACAGGAAAAGAAATAAATTCTGTATAGTTAATTCAGTTAAATGAGACACTACATATTAGAGTGGCCTTTTGGCATCAATGTCCAAAGGACTTTTGATAATGAACCTGTCTGAGGGTTATTTCAGCATCCTGTTGCTGACTGAACTGGGTGTTTTTTAACAATTGTCATGGTGTTAACTGTTATGCCAGGTTGTCTGCATTACCCTGTAGACACTGAAGGTCCATAAAGATATGCTTTTTCTTTACTTTTAGCACCATGGAGAGGGAGAAGGTTGGCATACCCACTGATGGGGAGTCTCATGCCATCACATACCCCCCTGCTATTATGATCTACATTGTTGACCCGTTCTCATATGAGGATGCGGACTCAAGTGTGTGGACACTTGGGCTCCTGCGCTGCTACCTGGAGATGGTGGAGTTCCTCCCTTCTCACATACGCAACTCTATCTCTGTGGAGGTATGTGCAAAGCACCACTCCACCCAGTGTGTTATATGAATGCCATGGGGCAGATGAGTTTAAGACTTAACGCTTCCAGGAGTGGAAAGAATATGAATGTGGTTATAGTGCTTTTGAATACTATGGATACATGTGGTGAAGTAAATAATCCACTGTATTCTGAATAAGGAACCATGTTTAATATCACCTGCATGCATGAAACTATTCTGCTGGTTTTCCTTAAAGCTGATTTAAGGTAGTTCTGATTTAGCTTAAAAATTCGGAATGATGTCGCTGTGATCTGCAAGCTCTCTTGACTGGCTTTGTCTTCTCTCAGATAATCCCATGTCAGTACCTCCTGCAGCCAGTCAAGTGTGAGGAGAGGCAGCTGTATGCGCAGCACCTGAAATCTCTGGCCTTCTCAGTGTACTCTCAGTGCAGACGGCCTCTCCCTGTGTCTACCAACGTCAAATCGCTAACGGGCTTTGGTCCCGGCCTCGCACTTGACACAGCCCTCAGGAGTCCAGAGGTGAGACAGGGAGAACAACCCAGTTAGTGTTCTTCTTTCTAAAGGTGCTCGGTAGGCAGAGGCATTTCTGCAACAAAGAAGTAGGGACTGGAAAGACAGCACCTTTTTTTCTATGTGTATACCTGAACAATTGTGATTCAAGTGTCAAGCAGATCAGTACCCTGGATACAGCATTTATCCTGAGGAAAAAATTATATTTGTTTTGCTGCCTGTTCTCTAGAACCTAGCCAGATTCTCACGGATAGCAATCCTTAATATATGGCAAATCCATGAATTCAGGATTAGATTAGGTATATATCCTCATGAAAATATAATCTTAACTAAAGCCAGAAGCAGTCATGTGAGAAAAGGAATCTTCTTTGATGCCTCCACATTGTCTGAATCTGAATATCAGTCATTCAGGAAAGGCCTCTGCAATTGTTCAATGATAGAGTGGAAGTCCTTTCACTTATCACTAAGAGTAATTTCCCACAAGCCTGAATTTCAAATCATACATGTTTCTTTCAGCAGGAACTATTTACTCAGTTGTGCTAATCTGTAGAGGGAAATCTCTCACTGCTTCAGTTGGATCAGACCCTGGGAAAAGTTTTTAATCCAATATGGGAATTAAATCTGCTCTTACTTGCTTGGATAAAGCGTTTTGTGTTATGCTATTGCCCAGGTCATCTGGATAAAGCAGTTTTGAGAAACTTTCATCGTGCTTTACCAAAGCTCTTTTTCAGCTGTATTAAATGAGGTAGTCTGTGCTCACAGGATTCAGCGAACAGCCTTAATACTGTCTAAATCAATATCTTTTCCTGTAGTTTACACTGCAAATAACAATGTACTATATCACTAACTTGTTACACATACTTGATACACTATTGTTGACTTTTTCTGCAGTTATTGTTTTCATTTGCTACATGTAATGGGTTGTTTGTAATTAATGTAAAAACTGTCATGTGTATGGGTTAGGCAGCATGAGATGGCTTTAAACCCTACATGGGATTCCAGTCTTCTCTCAGCTGCCATCAGCTTTATTTTGTTATTAAAACTTCAATTGCATTTTCAGAATTTATTAAGCATGTCAGAATTGTTTTTGTGTTTTTCATTGTTTTTGCTTCTGTTTAATTGTTGTAATTCAGTATGGAAGTTACCCATTGCAAAGAAATCACATTCTTAAAGGCTGCTAGAAGTAAAATGATTAGTGGAGATTAGAGACATTTTGCTCCTAGATTGAAGTGTAGAGGTACTGTTAACAGATCTGTAGTGGCTTGCAGTGTTGCTGTTCCTGGATCAGTGTGGCATCAGAATGGTACTGTTTCCTGAAGTGGAATGCAATGGGGCATGGAGAGTGTTACACTAACCTCCCTGTCCTGGACCAGGACAAAAGGGAACTCGCAGCACCACCAGTTTTCTTTCCATTATCTGCTAGGGCAGCTCTGTGAGACCTCACTGATGGGATTCAGCCTGCCTGCTGCTGGCAGTGTTGGGGATTTCAGACCTCTTGTCTGCTCTTGGCCCAGCCACTCGCACAATCCAATTTTGTCTGCTTGCTCTCCCACACTTTTTACTCCTCTCAGAAAGGAGATGTGATTGCTCACTGAGGTGGAGTGGTTTATTTAGGGAGCAAGAGATGTTTAGGCCTGCCCATTTCAGAGCAGGCCAAACTATGGGTAGAAATTGTGTGGTGTCAGAGGGCCTTGACTTTTTGCCTTTGCTTTTTTGTCTTTACATTTTCTGCCATATTTGATGACGTTTGACCTGACTTCTGCTTTTTTGCCTTTCCAGAGGCCAGAATGTTTGCGTATGTACACACCTCCTTTCATCTTGGCACCAGTGAAGGACAAGCAGACGGAGTTGGGAGAGACGTTTGGAGAGGCATCGCAAAAATACAATGTGCTATTTGTGGGATACTGCCTGTCACATGATCAGAGGTGGCTACTGGCCACCTGTACGGACATGAACGGAGAGCTGCTAGAGACTTGCATCATAAGCGTAGATGTTCCCAACAGGTTAGATAGCTGAAGCACTGTTCCTTTTTTAACCCTGTAGTCTATTTATTGACCATTCACACATGATCTTATCGTAGTTGACTAGCTAAAGTACTTTGGTCTGCTTCCAATCTGTGTCTATTCTGCAACTGTTGCTAGTTTTTCTCGCATGTGTCTATTCAGAGCGAGAAGGAAAAAGGGCTCAGCTCGACGGCTCGGTCTGCAGAAGCTCTGGGAGTGGTGCTTGGGTTTGGTACAGATGACATCAGTGCCATGGAGGGTTGTGATTGGCCGACTTGGGCGGATAGGTCATGGAGAGTTACGAGGTAAAGACAACTTTGCTGTGAACCAATTAGAGTTTAACATTTTGGCACATCAAAAGCAGAGTAGAGTTTAGTGTTTTTTCTCCTGAGTAAGTCAAAAGTGTGATTCATGACTTAGGCACAGATACCACATTTTAATTAAAATGTAATGGCTAGGCTGCAACTATTATCTTCATTTTCCAGTATTTTATCAAATGCTACCAGGAATATTCAATGAAAGGGCAAGAAACCCTCAAGATGTTTACATTTTTAGAGGTTGTAAAAGAAAATCTTCTGAAAAGCTACTGGGATGTTATTAATGATCTTGTAAAATTAATGCTGATGAATATAAATGTTTCCCAATATCTTCTGAATTGTGCCTGGTTCGTTTACCATATATTCTGTTTTTCATTTAAATGTTTTGAAATATAGATATGAAAACTGTTTTGTTCAATACTTTACTGTTTTGCCAGCAATGTTTTTGTTTGTTTGGGGTTTTTTTCTTAACCTTTGTACATTCCGTATGTTCTTTTTAAGCCTCTCTTTTGATCCTGCGCTCCAGCAGTATTGGTGTTAACACCAGGTGCAAACTGAATACATTTTTACCGTTCTGGGCAGTTGACTAGCATGCTGTCATTTATTCCAGGGATGCAACTGAGAGCATGTAGTAGCTAGGTAGTAGTCTGGAGAAAAGGAATTAGTTAATTTATTCTATATTTATTATAGCTCTAGTCGTGAGAGTTTTTTCAGAAGGCTGAATCAAATGTTACCTGCATGTATTTTAAAATCTTTCACGTGGTATTATGTCATCTAAGTTCTCTCTCTCTCTCTCTCCTCTCTCTCTCTCTCTCTCTCAGACTGGAGCATACTATTGAGCAGGAGGAATCTGCAGTCGCTAAGCCGCCGGCTGAAGGACATGTGCAGAATGTGCGGTATCTCATCTGCTGACACTCCCAGCATCCTTAGCGCCTGCTTGGTTGCCATGGAGCCTCAAGGCTCGTTTATCATCATGCCAGGTAAACTCACCCCTTCTATTCCTCTTTATATATATATATATATATATATATATATATATATATATATATATATATATATATATATATATATATATATATCACACACAACAAACTTAAGACATACAATAACAGGCACACAGACAACTCTTTTTTTTCTAAATATACACTGGCCATTCAGAAGCACAGGACTGACTCACTCAAGACCAACTTGTGCCTTCAAGAAGATGTATGTGTATATATGCCTCATATATACACACACACACTGAATGTTTTCCTTCTTCTCTAACGCTTTAAGCTTCTCTACATTTTAAGCCTAGACTTAGATTGCCTTAAATTTTAGAAATGACACTTAAATAAATACTTTTTGACTATTTATTTTTCTTTAGACTCTGTGTCAACTGGTTCCGTGTTTGGCCGCAGCACGACTCTGAATATGCAGACATCACAGCTCAGCACCCCTCAGGACACCTCCTGCACCCACATCCTAGTGTTCCCCACATCCGCCTTTGTCCAGGTCAACAGCTCCAGCTACACCCCTGAGGACATTGCCTTTAACCCCATCAATGGTAGGGACCTTGAACAGATGTAATAAATGTTTTCAGACACTCAGAGTACTTTAAACCACCTCTGGTTTGCCACTACTGTTGTGCTAGAAACAATGGAATCCTCTGGAATCCCCACGTGCACTATATGATATCCAAGTGATTTCTGTGATTTTGATTGTTGGCTTTTGTTGTATTCTTTAGATGGATCAGATCCTATTGGAGGCATCTTTGACCTTCTGGAACAGGAGAATGACCTGGTTGACCCAGACATCATCAATATCCTTCCTGCCTCCCCCACCACCTCCCCTGTCCACTCTCCAGGATCACAATATCACCACGGAGGAGATGGGAGCAAGGTATGCAGAACATGTGGAAATGGAGACAATGAGAAAATATAAGCATCTCTGAGGAAGTGTGTTGATGTACTTAAAGAACTAACGTTCAATGAGCAAAAAATAATAAGCGTTTATGTGATATACTGTATGTAATTTCATATGAGTAAAGTCTGCTTGTTTGGAATGCAAGAGAATTTATTAATGTTCCTGAGGGCTTCGGCCATTTAATACTCAGAAGAGCACTGAAATGTTTTACATCATTTACAATTTCAAATTGTGTCTAGGTTTGACTTCCTCTCCCCTCTGTCCTCTTTCAGGGTCAGAGTACCGATAGGATGGAGTCTCATGATGAAGCTCCCAACATCTTGCAGCAGCCTCTCGCTCTTGGCTACTTTGTGTCCACGGCTAAAGCAGGCCCACTGCCCGACTGGTTCTGGTCAGCCTGCCCGCAAGCTCAGAACCAGTGCCCTCTTTTCTTAAAGGTAATACATTTTCTTTCGCACACAAGAGCACATACAGGCTAATTATTTTCAGCTACAGATTAATGTGAAACAAATCTTGTGACAAACATTGCTGTAAAAAAACTTGAAATTTCATTTGTTTAGATTTTAACGTGAGTAGGGTTTTGTTTTGCTGTAGAAGAGCATGCATAAAATATTATGTGGAAAATGTGGGGTTTTTTGGGGGGGATTTTTCACAAGGATTTCTCACAGTCTTGTTCTGTAATTAAGTGACAGTATAGTGTGTTCCTGGACTAGCCTTAATCTGTTCTGAATGTCACTGAGCTTAAGCCGACTGAGCTTAAGCTGTTGTCTTCAGTTTGTTTCATACAACGTCATTGTTGCTTCAGTGTCTGTGTGGTTGGCATATAAAATGTCTATTTGTAAGTAATTTTCTTCTATAGGCTATTAACCTCTGATGCCTATAAAAAGATTAGGACATTAACCTTTTATAAGACATTCCTTAGGTGTAGCCTTCTTGAAGCATAGTGTGATGTGTAATGGTGTGAGTCCAGTAACAAGCATCCAGCACCACATCACAGCCTCTGACTGATTTCACCAACATCCACCAGTCATACCTGCACCTGGTCATATGACCCTTTATTCCCTGCTCATACAATATTGATTGCTGCTCCTGCAAGGGGAGGCTTAAATAATTTAGAGTGCTCAGTGATTGGGTCAGCAGTGGTATTGGTGCATGAGAGAAGAGCACAAGAGAGATGAGTAAGGCTCCTTGAGTCATGTAGAGGATAGTGAAACAGAAATATTGGGACAGAAGACTCTAGCTGTCGTAGCTACACATGAACTCTTGTCCAGGACTTAGAAGGGCTTTCAGTGGAGTAGCCCCACAAGAGCTGTTGACTACATACTATTAATGTAGTAGTTTTTGTTTATTTATTATTTATTTATGTTGATAGTGTTGGATGATGTATCTTTCATATCCCCTCAGGCCTCTCTACACCTTCACGTATCTTCAGTGCAGTCAGATGAGCTGTTGCATGGCAAACACTCTCACCCACTGGACTCTAATCAGACCTCAGATGTGCTCAGGTGGGAAATTCTGTCCTTCTGCCATGGGCTGCTGCTCTTGTTTTTGCTAATTACAGTGTTTTTCAAGCTGCGGTCAGGGATTTCTCAATATGACAGCCCAGGCTCACAACTGAAGTTGTTCTTGGCAACTGAAACATCTTAAGTCTGTTCTGGAAACACCAGGTATATTCTGAAGGTTTGAGGTAAACAGAACTACTAAAATTAACTGCACAATTTCCTATACACATTATTAAGGTTAGTGACGTTAGCATACATGGATATTGCAGATAGTATCAAGCTGGTGTTCTGTGTATTTATCTAGCTGTTACCAAAGTAAAACGCTGAGAGAAAAGGAAAGGATCGACATCCCTTCTTCTGAGATAATAAAGGCAGTCTCCAATTGGATTTGGATCAGCTAGCGATGTAGCAAAAAGAGTCCTTTAAACATTGACAATACAAGTAAAACGCAGGAATGTCTGATTATAGCTCTATAATACTAGTCTTCGAACTTGTCTGGGGCTACAAGCAATACTTGGATGTGTATGATTACAAACACACTCTGAATATGTTTTGGTTAAATTACTAACACCTATCCTTTTTCACCTCTATCAGATTTGTGTTGGAGCAGTACAACGCCCTCTCCTGGCTGACTTGTGACCCTGCAACCCAGGACCGGCGCTCATGTCTGCCCATTCACTTTGTGGTGCTCAACCAGCTCTACAATTTCATAATGAACATGTTGTAACACCTATAGATGAGAACTGAACAGAAACAGAGCAGGGAATGAGGGGTGAGAGAACACAAGCGCCAATGAGATCTAAACCCCAAAATCCATTACTACAGTGCTGGACATTTGAATCTGGGACAACATGAAGAAATTCAGCTGTTGCAGTCAGCATACTTCAGACCTAGCACCACAGAGAATGACCAGCCTTCTGATGTCAAAGACAAAAATACAAAAAAAGAGAAAGAAGTGGAAGGGTTTTTGTGGCGTAGAGGCCAAGGAGGAGCCAGAAAGTATCAGAATCAGAAAGTAGCTTTCTGATGCCATGGTACCATTGGGTTCATGGCACTGGCCAGATGTAACAGCCGTTGTGAATGGAAAGAGTCTATCATGTTTTGGAGGAAAAGGGACATCTGTGATTACAAAATGAAAGAATGAATTCTTGGTTTTAAGACCTAAAATGAATGAATTCTTGGTTTTAAGACCTGAAATTCCCTGTTTCTTTTGGATGATCTTGCATCCAAATGAAATGCCTGCATTTGTCTTATTTATTGTAAGTTTTTAAATGTATAATTTGTCTTATTTCTTAACCTCTTTTATATATAAAAGATCTAGAAGGTTTATATTGCCTTCCTGCTTTCAAGCAATTGGTCAAAAATATACGTAATCGTCTTAATTAAAAAAATGAGCAAAAACCCACAAAAAGAGGAATAAAATAAAGTTGCAGTAGGTTGCTTTTAGAGTATTATTTTTTGTAAGGGAGAAAGAATATTTGTATTGTCATGATGTACAGAGGTGGTAGGATTGGGGAATTATGTCCATGCCTTTGTGAATGGACAGATCACAGCTATGCTATAGCTGTATAGGACTTGTACAGCAATGAAGTTCACTGTGTCTAAAATAAAGAGGTACATTGTCGTATATAGTATTTTATACCACACATTTAGACACGAAAACGGCAATATATAAATAATTATATATGAATGTTGTGCCACTCAGTTGGCACGGCTTCTGTTTTAGGAATAAAGTGAGTCAACTCAATTATTTTCTGTGCTTGTGTTTTTTTGGGGGGAGGGACTGTGATGAGAAATTTGACGGAATTATAACGCTGGAGGGATCATATGCTGTTTTTCCAAATGTAGCTTGTTTCAAACGGTGTTCTACGAAACTATTCATGAGTGAGCAGGCTAAATTTGGGTTAAACCTGAGTTCAGTTCCCCAAAACTGACTCAACTCTTTGGTTGGACCCAAAGTTAGCCAGCTAACCCCTTAATCCAGCTCTATGGTATGCCCCACAGATTTGGCGTTGTTAAATAAAGTGGTTGGTATGATACTGAAGATCCACGATGTGCCTCTTGTCCTTTTAAACACGCACACCCTTTTCACCTCACCCTGCCCTCCCCTGTTGAGGCGCTATTTTGCCCCATTTCTATGTGGTAATGGACACTTTTAGACCAGGTTCATTTAACTTGCATGAGAGTGTAAATGGGCTAGTGGTTGACCATATCTGGGTGCCTGCTGGCAATGCAGTGTTTGTGCACAGTGAAAGATCTACATTTTCCTGTTTCTTACTCTGTACAGAATAAAACTGTATGCTGAGATTCAAAGATCCTGGAAATTCTCTTGCAGCCTCACACGAATCAAATTCAATTCAAATTCAAATTCCAAAATAAACTAAACATTAATCAGACATGTATAAAACATTAGGAGGAACAGTGGTGATAAGGCATGAGCTACATTTCTTACATAAAATGTAAAGCCCCGCACACTTAAACTAGCAATAATTCAGTCGATGAAACATATTCCTGAAGATCTTTTTTCATAATGGAATGAAATGGGATAATTTATTCATAACGGGATAGAAAATCTTAATTGATATTCGAATTGCTTCCATCGCTCTAGCCTGTAGTTATTGTTCTGGTTATCCTCCTAGCTCGCCTTACTGCGCTCCCCCTTCACTTGCACTGCAGCTCGCGCAGCAAGCCGGGTGTCGATCTCTCCGAAAATATAGTTTGTTATTAAATTAATTCTAGTCATTGGCTTCGAAATAAGAAATTGTGGTGCTTCGATAACTGCAGAACAACTTTTATAAGTACACCAAACTCCGTAAACTTTTATTACCTGAAATTGCTGAATCTCGATGAATGGATTTCATGGTTTGTAGGATACCTCAACGCACACAGTTAGCTTGTTAGCTGGCTAGGTGTGCTGGCCGTGAATGCCTCCACTTTTTGGGCTGAGGCCAGTCACGATTCACCGAGGTCTGCGTGGGGCCTCGCTGAGGTCTCTTCAGATTTTCGCCAGATTTTGTTAAAAGCCAGGTAAGGTATACCGTATTCAACCAGCAATATGTCAGTCTCAAGAAAACCTGGCCAAGAAAGTAAGTGAATGTCTTGCCGAAAACGAGCATTCTGTTGCTTGGGCCGCAAACTTGCTCTTTAGCTAGCTAGATAGCTAGCTAGCTAACTAAGTTCACCAACCTAGCTAACCTATCCGCAAAGCGATATCACTTCTGTCTGTGCTGTTTTATTTAGACCGCCTAGTCATTCCTAACCATGTTCAGAAAACTAGACATTTGAAGGTTTGCTAGCAAAGTTGCTGTTAGCTGGCTAGCTGAATAACCTAGCTTTGACGGACAGGTTTTAGTCTACCAGAAGTGTCACAGAGTGTTGTTAGGCGAAGAACAGTTGCTAATGTTGCTAGCGTTAAATGCTTTAACGTAGTTACTGTACTCTGTGACTTTGCATTGTTATAAGAATTACATTACATTGCTATTTTTGCCCAATAATGTATTAGTGCAGTATTCCTAAGCTGAAATACCTGAAAGTTTCAGAGGACAACGTTAAATGCATCTGGCTGGGATAATAGTGTTCATGTAATTTGACGATTAAAGCTGATTTTTGAGATGTCACTTTTACTATTTGCACCACAGAATACAGAATGACAGATAGCTCAGGTCTACAGTTTGTGAGTCCTTATGCCTTTGAGGCCATGCAGAAGGTGGACGTGGTCCGGCTGGCAGCTCTGAGTGATCCGGAGCTGAGGTTACTGTTGCCGTGCCTGGTGAGGATGGCACTGTGTGCCCCTGCTGACCAGAGCAATGCGTGGGCTCAGGATAAGAAGCTCATCCTGCGTCTGCTGTCCGGGGTGGAGGCAGTGAACTCCATAGTAGCACTGCTATCTGTCGACTTTCACGCCCTGGAACAGGATGCCAGGAAAGAGCAGCAGCTCAGGTAAAGCCATGATGAAAGACTATACTTAAACACATATCGCTTAAAATGTACAAAAGAAAAGAATATGGATATTTTAGTGTGTTTAAAACAGGTACACTTTGGAAAAAAAATGCATGTCAGCTTCAACACCCAATGAATTATGATTAGAACTCTGTTCATACACATCGTCTTTGTCTGCTTGAGGGTTGGTATGTTAATTGAATATTATACCTTTTCGTTCGACTTCAAAGATGGTCTTAAAACCAGGTTTCTCTTTGTCTCAATACAGGCAAAAGGCAGGCGGCTCTAATGGTGAGAGTATACTGGTTTCTCAGCTGCAGCATGGTCTGACACTAGAGTTTGAACACAGTGACCCACTAAGGAGACTCAGACTGGCTCTCAGTGAGCTGCTGGCCATCATGAACAAGGTGGTCACTCATTTATAAACAGCATCAGTGTTTTATGTGTGTTTCATATTAACAACAGACCCAGTGAGCATTTTCAGTTTAACTGATAATGTGTAGGTATTTAAAAAATTGTCTGTTCCATGTGTCTGTCATGCAGGTAGCTGACTTGAATGGGGAGTTTTTTCTGAAGTCTTCTGAACTTTTTGAGAGTCCTGTGTACCTGGAAGAGGTAGCTGATGTTCTCTGCATTCTTCAAGCAGGTAAAAATGACAGCTGCAGCACACAGATCTTTTGTTGCATCAGAATGTTTGCAGTGTATTTTAATATTATGCAATAAATAGATTTAATCTTATAAAAATAAAATGGTAGCTTTCAAAGTTATTTTTAATTATGTGCAGTAACAAATAAATTATTATGGACTAGGGCTGCCAAGTACTTTTAGTACAGAAAATAAACCAAGCCTTGTTTCACCCATTTATATCATTCGTCTTTCTTGCAGAACTGCCCTCTTTGTTGCCCATTGTAGATGTGGCAGAGGCCTTGCTGCATGTGCGAAATGGAGACTGGTTCCTTTGTCTCCTTGTTGCCAATGTCCCAGACAGCTTCAGTGAAGGTGTGTGAACTTAACAATTAAACAATAACTCTTTTTGTCTTGAAGGTTGTCCATGGATTCATTCATAGACATAGCAGAATAAATGTAGCAGATATAAGTGAGTGTTATTCCTGTCACCACCTTCTTGAAAAAGTTATGAAATTATGCAATGCCACACTATTTACGTACAGTGCCCTCTGCAAATATTGGCACCCCTGATATACATGAGCAAAATGGGCTGTAAAAACATCTTTTTTGCTCATCCTTTTGGTAATTCATTCAAAATATATAAAAAACTGCAAAGTAAAGATTAAGATAATGACAAAGAAAAAAATAAGTCTTATCATGAAAGAAATATTTTTTTAAAATCTGTATGTGCCACAATTGTTGGCACTCGTAGAAATTCAGACAAATGTAATCTAACTTAAGTACAATACACCGATCAGGCATAACATTATGATCCTTGTTTCTATACTCATTGTCCATTTTATCAGCTCCACTTACTATGTAGGTGCACTTTGTAGTTCTACAATCACAGACTGTAGTCCATCTGTTTCTCTGCATACTTTGTTAGCCCCCCTTTTACCCTGTTCTTCAGGGGTCAGGACCCCCATGGACCCTCACAGAGCAGGTACCATTTGGGTGGTGGATCATTCTCAGCACTGCAGTAACGCTGATGTGGTGGTGGTGGTGTGTTAGTGTGTGTTGCGCTGGCACGAGTGGGTCAGACACAGCAGTGCTGCTGGAGTTTTTTTTTTTTGGCTAATATTTTGAAAGAAAGTTTTTGCCAATATTTGTGGAGGGCACTGTGATTAAAGTTTTATCCATGAATCATATCTGGATCTCCTTGCTCCAGAGTTATGAAACATTTTTGATGCATTTGATCAACACATTGTAGTCTCCTGTTGAAACTGAATGCGGCTAACAGAGAGAGATTCATTACAGACTAAAGCATTATTGGAAAAGTCTCTGTGTACAGACATTCAGCATAATCACATTTAACATGAGTGGTTACTAACTCTGTTACAATTCTATGATACATTTAATTTCTTATTACAGGTGAATTGGGACTGATATTTTAGATTTTGTCACAGTGACGTGATGGTTAATCATAAACATTTTATCTAGTAAACATCTTGCAAGTGATGGAGTCTAGAATGAAAGAAAAAATAGAAAAGTATTGACTTAGAGGCTAAAATGTGTGTATATGTGTGTGTTTTTGTTCTCCTAGTATGTCGCAGTCTAATAAAGAATGGTGAGCGTCAAGACGAGGAGAGTGTGGGTGGAAGACGCAGAACTGAGGCTCTTAGACAGCTGTGTCAGATGAACCCATCTCAAGCTCTCAACATCAGAGCCATGGTGGTGAGCATCCACAGCTGTGAAGAATGAGCTCCTTTACTGCAACAGTAGCCTGGGACTCTCTCAGGCGCAGTTCTACAACCCTAGCTAAACACTATGCCATACTCTTTCTTCTGTATTCCCAGGTGGAAGAGTGTCATCTGCCAGGATTGGGAGTGGCTCTGACGCTAGACTATAAGCCTGACTGCGCAGACGAGGCTGTTAGTCCTCTGGTGTCGTACGTCAGTGGTCTGCTCTTGGGCACAAATGGGAAAGTGCGCACCTGGTTTGGCATGTTTATCCGCAATGGGCAGCAGGTGAGAGACTGCAGTTGCTGGTCACATATGTACAGTATGCACTGCACACAAACAACTAAACAAATACTACATAGTTAATTGGGTTGTATAGTTGGTATGTGTATATAGTTTAATCACAACATTACATTTTTGTCCCTGTCTCTCCCTTTCTTTCTCTTCTTGTCTTCCCTTCCCCTTTCAGAGAAAGAGAGAGAGTAGTTCTGTTTTATGGCAGATGCGTAGGCAGCTGCTTTTGGAGTTGGTGGCCATCCTACCTCGCTCACGCAGTACACATGTACCCAATGACACAGAGCTGCATGCTGAGATAGAGAGCAGTTCAGGCTATTCAGGCCTGAGAGAAGAACATGTGGTGAAGGCAAGCGCGCTACTCAGACTCTACTGTGCTCTCATGGGCATTGCTGGCCTTAGGTAATGTTTTCACACACTCCCTGAGCAAAGACTTGAATTGATCAGTCAAGTAGTCTGGCTATACTGCCTCCTCACTTACACACAGATGAAACTGTGTAAAAATGCATACTATTTGTAAATGTAAAAAATGTGTAAATTCACTAAGAATAGTTTTTCATTCATTTTGCAGCTCTTAGAAGGTGCTTTTTTTGGAGCTTTAGCCTGTGTTTTCACATGTTAACATTGTTACTACTGCTGTGATGCCAAGTAAGCTTTAATAACAATATGAGCACATTATCAGCATTTACACTCATGTAGTGCTTAGTTGTAATGTTCCGGATCCTTACTCCCAGGCCCACAGATGAGGAAGCTGAGCAGCTTCTCCAACTGATGACCAGTCGCCCCCCTGCTACTCCTGCTGGAGTCCGCTTTGTCTCTTTGTCCTTCTGCAAATTACTTGCCTTCCCTACTCTTGTCAGGTACTATCTCCTTACATCAGTACTCACTATTACATAATAAGGAAATACAAATGCATATATTTCTGCATCTTTGTCATTTTATAGTCCTGTTTAAGTGCATGCAGTGTAGCAAAATAATTAGCAATATGGTAATTTTGGGAAATAATGACGTATCAAATATGGTAAAATGGATAATGAATAATCAGATGTTATTGTATTCCGTACCTCTTTAATGTTATCCAACTCTCATTCTCTGTAGTACTCCGGAACAGGAGCAATTGATGGTGATGTGGCTCAGCTGGATGATCAAGGAGGAAGAGTACTTTGAGAGGTAAGGAGCCACAAATAGAAAATTTTTTAATTAAATTTTCAAAATTTCATGTAGATATTAGTCATGTTCTTTTTAGTTCAATGTCATTTAGATGCCAGAATTGAGATGTATGATTGCATTTTCAGACTGTGTTCTTAGGCATTTTCTGACAAATATTTGAAAGCTAGTGTATTACACAATAGTTATGTGTCTTGGAGTCTCTAAAGGTTGAAGGCCTACATCTGGTCGGTCATAACTTTCTTGGCGTAACTTTTACGCCTAGCTGGGAACAGGCATAAAGTCTAATTCTACACCTTTTCTAGGTCACACAGAGGAATGCGAAGAGCTGTGGTGTTTCAGGGATGAATTGAGATGGAGAGGGTCTCTAACCAAAAAAATATATCTTTGGATGATTGTGGTTCAGAAAGTTTAGAAATGCTTCCACTAAACAGCCCAAGTTGACTATTTTTTTTAAATTTAAGCTGTTAAGATGTTTATCCATCGGTGTGACTTTAAACAGACTGTAACTTGATCAATTTGTAAATTTCATTGTTGGTGAATTTAATTCTGCTTTTGCCAGTAGCAGGTATGCATGCATGCATGGCTGTTTTGCCTAGTAACTAGGTTGCTTAGCACCTGCCATTGTTACATACGTGTTATGACTGTGCAACACTAAGACCTTAGGTGTAACTTTGGTTAGTGCAATGAATGTAAAGGCCTGTCTGAAATTTGTCTTAGCTAAGACAGACTTAACAATTAAGACTGGTTTATTTAAGATGTGTTGGTGCAACTGGCTCCTGGAGGTCTCCTGAGCTTTCTTCAATTTTCTTTAATTGTCTCTAACTTTCTTTTTCTGTTCAGCAGTCTATAAGACTTGTGCACTAACTGGTCGTAAGCTGAATTTGCACTAAAACAGCGCATATATTTTATGCCCAGCTGAATGCAGGCATAAGTCAAATTCAAACCTTTTCTAAGCTAAAATGACTGATTTAACTGGTTTTTGGTTTAACTTGTTTCAGTGTGTTTGGTAGCTGTCATGAGTGATAGTAGTCTTTACCTTGAGCATACTATGAGCAGAAGCAAAGCTAGCAATGTAAGTTTTTCAGACTGCAGAGCCATTTCTTTGTGCAGACTTATAGACATTATGTGTGTTTTAGCTGTGGTGTGTTTTAGGGGTGTGTTGAGAGGGAGGGGGTCATGAGCCCTAAACTGGTTGGTTGGTTGGTCTCAGCTCAAAAATATGGAAAAATCTTATGCTTGCTGCTGTTCTTCCTAGCCTTCCCATGTTTGCTGTTTTTTTTCCCTAACTTAATCTGTTTTTGTGTCAGTCTAAATAACTTGATTAATTTGCGTGTTTCACTGTTAGTAAAGCTCCTTCTGATCTTTTCATTTTGGTAGTCTGAATTGGCAGGTTAGCTGTAGCCAGTAGTAGGTACACATGTAGTAGTTTTGCTTAGCAACTGTTGTTGTTACACAAAGTGACCTGTCGTGCCTAAGCCTAACTTTGGTTGGTGCACCATGTGTTGGTAATCCTTGGAAAAAAAATAGTGTTGGGTACATCTGCATTAGGCTACATTTACACAGCAGGTAAAGTGGCCCAAATTCGATCTTTTTCTTTGTATATGACACAGATGTGTCATCTGTGTGGCAGTGTGAACAGCAAAAAAGGCATAGAATGTGACATTTTCAATTCCGTTTTGAGACGCTTTCAATATGTGGTTTGCTTTTCATATGTGGTACTGAAATCCGATACGTATCCGATAGGGGTGCGGGGAAAAAAACGATTCTTAGATGCATCACAATGCGGACGTGAACAATTCTGAATCGATTCACAAATGTCAAAAATCGATTTTCTAAATATTTATTTTATAACGTAATGTTGACGGAACGCAAAAGGCGGAACTTGGAGGTGCGGAAGTGCAGCGCCCGGACAGTCTGTGGCGGCACATAACAAAAACACTACTGGATGAGTGAGAAATCCGACCGGCTCCCTCTGCATTAAAAGCCAGGTTAGGTCAGGAGTCACAACACAAATGGTAAGAAGAGCCATTTTATCCTTTCAACAAAAAATCGAACCACCTTGGGAGCCACAACATTTAATGTCCAGTATGTCTCAGTATGTGATAATGTCCTAGTATAGACTAAACAATATAGGTTAAACGAAAACACAGATGCTTTAAGCTTTAGCTCAGCGACAGCCGCTTTCCTCCCGTCTCCGCCAGAAAACTTTTCCTCAGAAGTAGATCAGTTAAATGTCTCTCAATGTTCGACTGTTTTACGAGGCTGAAGTCGCTTCTTATTCTCCAGCTTCTTGTTCGAGTTTACCCGTTCCACCTTAAATTCTAACTGAGGCGCCGAATGTAAATGCGGCACCGTTTAAGGTGGAACGGGAGAATTCGAAAGAGAAGCGACTTCATCTTCGCCACTTTTTAGTGCTTGACAGTCTTTCGTTGCAGATTTAACGTACCAGGAAACCAACTGCGCTGCTTATAAATGCGAATAACGCATCGTTGCTAGGTGACCTGCAGTCTGCACGCCGGTTCTCAGTCGTTGCGAAACAGGGCTTTCACGCTATGTTGCGCACGTCCCGTCTCAAAGATACTTTACTGACACAGCGACCCCCCCCCCCATCTCTACAACGAGACCAAAACCGAAGTTATAAAATCCCTAAAGATAACGGGTAGAATAGCTGTAACGTGCTGCGTGGACATCCACTGCCACTGAATCTTATTTCACCGTAACTGCGCATTTTATCGCAGATAAGTAGCAGCAGCATCTCCAAACAAGAGCAGTGAATGAGAGCCTTCTAGTTCACTTGCCACATCACTTCCATTTGTTTTATTAAAAAACATATTGGAAGTAAATTCATTATGGACCATTACAAATACTTTGCTTTAAAAGTACCAAGTCATTTTAAATAACAATGACACAGAGTTACTTAGTCACTTGAAAATGTATATTGTCTCTATATTCTGTATATATTCTGTGTATATTTTGTGTATTTTTAATATATTTCAGTTGGTTTTTCTTGTATTTTTATTTTTACTTATTTACTTTCTGTAGAGTGATTGCCTGTGCCTCACCATAAGCATTTCAATGCATAAATGTCCTGACATGTTGTGCAAGTGACAAATAAACTTGAAACTTGAACTCGAAACTTGAGCGCACACAGTGAGAAAATATAAATGCTATATAGAAAAAAAAGATGCATCGAGATGCATCGATAATCGTTTTCTAATCACATCACAGCCCTCTGAATTGTAATCGAATCGTGAGGTGCCTAAAGATTCCCACCCCTGGTATCCGGTCTGCGGCAATGTGACTCAGTCTGAACAACCAGATCGGAATTCATGCGACTTTTATGTCAGTCCAACTCGACATTCATCATAATTTCGCACTGCTGAGACTCATAAACATTTAGGCTGATGTTTCTGTACCAAAAAATTAGAAGAGACTTATCGCAACCGCTCTGTGTTCGAAGAGGTTTTGAACAAAACAGTCGAATGTGGCCGTAGGAGAGCGAGGCTGCAGTGTCAGAGTACAGTTTAAAGAATCCCATGACACGAACCAAAGAAGTGGCCGTGGCCTTTTTACGGCGAACTCGAACACATTCTGGGTGATGAGTCCAGCTGTCAAACATTGGGACTTTCTAATCTCTCCTGTGATGCTGGCGAAGACGAAACAAAAAGCTCCGGGAGCGACAGGCGTTTGCCGGCCGTCATGATTGTTTACCTCTGGACGAGCACACCACATGAAGCATTGTTCTTTTGCGCATGCGGGTTGGTTTAGGAGTGTTATCTTTTCAGACCTGTTTGTGCAACCAGCCCCAGGACCCTGTTTTTATATATATATATATATATATATATATATATATATATGTGTAGTATGCAGAGGGCAGCAGAGAGTTGATTTTTAGTGAATCAGAGACTTAAAAACTACTGACAGGATGGATAATTCAAACAGGCAGACACACTTTTAAAGACACACAGTTTAAAAAGCCTGAGGGGGGACAGAATAAAGTGTTGAGACAGACTTACATTTAACCGACACTTCATTGTCAGTGAGTTATTACTGCAACAACTTCCTTTGCTTGTGACCCTCTTAGGCAAGCGCATCGCTGTGTGTGTAAGTCTGTATATTTATGGTGATATCAGGCGTGTGTGCATGTTTTTTTTTTTAATGAGGGTATGAAACACTGCAGTGTTTGTGTGTGTGTTTTAAATGCTCTCCATTTGCTGTGTACAGGAAGTATTACCCAGTTTTCACTTCATCTCTTTCTCTCTCTCTCTCCCCCCCCAGTGCTGCTGGTGTGTCTGCATCCTTTGGAGAAATGCTATTACTGGTTGCCATGTATTTCCATAGCAACCAGCTCAGTGCCATTATTGAGCTTGTCTGCTCCACTCTCGGAATGAAGGTAAGCTTTTACGATCAATATTGCAGAGCAGAGGCCAGCTTTACACTGCACAGCAAACCAAAAACACATCTTGACCACATCTTAGTGCTTTACGCAGTAAACACAGGAAGATGTGAGTGTGAGAGAGCAGGAGGAATTAAATAAAGACTCTGGGTGTTCAACGATGTTGGCATTTTAGCCTAAAATTAGTAGCAGGGCTGGTGTATGGTTTTTGTACTTTGGCCTTTGTGGTTTGTAGATTAATTAAGACCACTAGCTGAAACTACATGTTAGCCAAGTTTGTGTAAAACAGTTACTTAATTGATTTAGCTGTGAAATATAGTTGAAAAAAATGTCTGTTACTCTTTATCATTTATTATTGATTTTGTTCATTTACTATTCACAAACCACTAGTTTCAACTTGGTGTCTTTATGTGCAGCCTACTCTCGCTTGATAAAACCTGTTTAAATCTGCTACGCATACCATTGCAGTTTTAGCATTCTGCTGAGTTCTAGATATCTAGATTTTCTGAGTACAACTGCATGGGTTTCTCACCTTGACTAACCATGTTCTTCCTCAGATTGCCATTAAACCCAGCTCTCTGAACAAAATGAAGACCATCTTCACCCATGAAATCTTTACTGAACAGGTACAGTACACAGTATACACAGTATTTAAGTAGAGCAAGCCAGCATTTTATGACATGGTTGTCTTTGTTACAGAACTGTGCAAAAGTCAGAGACTAACATTTATTTATTTATTTTCCACAGAATAGCCAGTATGTAAAATTTATTAATTTTTCACCATTATGAAAAAAGGCAGAACACAAATATTTAACAGAGAAGTACACAGAAGCCTCAACAGCTAAATATAATATTAAATTTTCAGTATTGTTTCAATATGTTTTTTTTGCCTTTATTACAGCCATCATTCTTTTCAGGATCTTACTTTTTTAGTTTTTTTTTTTTCAAAGAAATCGGCAGGGCTATTTTTTACTGTGCTTCTTGCAAACGCCTGCAATATGTAGTCTTTGAAGTTGGTTACATTTTGTGTATCTCATGATTCAGCATCAGTGATGTTGTGCCCTGTCTGTTGTGCTGAGAATGCCAGCAGCTTCTTTGTCTGCTAAGTATGTCTTGATCTTCTCAGCAATGTACTTGGGTCATTGTCTTGCTGTAGAAGGAATTTCTTCCAAAACAAAAGTATTGCATTATATATTAAAATCAGTTTGTATATGTCAGCATTCGTGATGCCTGTAGTCAAAGAAAAGTCACCAGCTGCAAATATTATACATCGGCAAACTTGCACTGATCCTCCATGCATACTGCCTTCTAATACTTTGAAAGATCTAAAATTTAGACTCCTTAGTCCATGAAACACATCTCAGATGTCCAGTCTCCTAGTGCAAATGTTCTTCCTAGTAACATCATCTTAACAGCTACACATATTTTCAACACCCAGAGCATTGAGTTGTATTCTAATAGAGAAAAGAAGGACAGAAACACCTCTATATTTTTTCAGATCTGAAGCGAGATCTGGTCTTTTTTTCTATTTCTTAAAAAATGGCTGTCGGTTTTATGTACTGCTGAAATGATCCATGGTCATGCAAAATAAGTCAGTTTTGTCAAAAATTCTTTTGATCAGTTATGTATGTATTGTTTCATTTTTGTCTTGTGATGTAGATAAACTGTAGAAGTGTTTAACAAAGTAGCACATACAAACCAAGTAACATGTACCATTGTTTAGTTGTGATAATGTTTAATGATGTAACTTAATATAATCCTGGTCTTTAAGTGTTGTGGTAATAATAATAATAATAATAATGATAACAATACATTTTATTTATATAGCACACTTTCATGACACAATCAACTCAAGGCACTTTACAGAAAACAAAACAAAATTAATTTATAAAAACAAATCAATACAGAAAATGTATTAAAATCAGTTCTCTCTCTAATGGGTAACCAGTGCAAAGATTTTAAAACTCGAGTAATGTGAGACAATAATAGGGTTTTTTTGGTTAAAATATGTGCAACGCAATTCAACATACTGCAGTCTCTGTATACTCTTATTCTGAGGTCCAGCTAAGAGGGCATTACAATAATCTAATTGTAACGTCGCAAACACATGAATCAGGTTCTCAGCACGACGAGTCAGAGAAGTCCTGAGTCCCGCAGGATAAATGATAAAAAGAGGTTTTACAAAGAGAAGTAATATGAGATATGAGAATCAAATGCCAATGTAGAGTCAAACGTAACCCCAAGATTCATCACACATGATAATGAATGAAAATTGTCAGTTTTAGCCTTAGGAATCTGGCTGTAAGTGCCTGCAAGAATAACCTATTGTAGGCATGTAGCTGATGTATATTTTTTTTCTTGAACTCCAGGCCGTGGATGGCTCTATTATCCTTAAGAATCAAACTCGGGTCTGTCGGTCTTAGACAGTTGTAGGGCTCGGGAGACCTATTGCATTTTGTGATTATTATTATTTATAATATATGATTATTTATTTTATTATATATGAATATTTATTTTTGACTAATTTAATGTGTTATTATTTATGACTAATTTAAGGTTTTTTGTTTTTTTTTGCATTATAGGTGGTAACTGGCCATGCAGTGAGAGTAGCTGTCACCAACAACCTAAGTGCCAATATTACAGGCTTCCTCCCCATCCATTGCATTTACCAGCTTCTCAAAAGCAGAGCATTCACCAAGCACAAAGTTTCCATTAAGGTACAGAATGGGTCTTCAATTTCTTATCTTTTCAGTTTCTTTCCTTCTATACTAGCGTTGTATTCTGTTTACTGATTTATCTGTTGACATCCTCTGATTGGCTTCTGTTCTGAACTTAAGGCAGATACTCTTATTGATTTAATTAATAACATCATTATTTGGATTTATTGCCTTGCTGTCTAGATGTTAAGTGTTTTCGAAACAATTACCATGTCAGTATTTACAAAATCAAATATTCATGTAACAGTGGTGCTAAAATGGCATGTTAAAGGTTAAAGGTATTGATGAGTTAACTTGCAAGGATAAAGAAGGAATTGAATATTTAAAGCCTTTGTTGGTTGCTAAGCCATTCTTCCTGTTTTCGGTAACAGAACATCTCTCTCTCTCTGCCTCCCTCTAGGACTGGATCTTTAGGCAGCTGTGTGAGACCACCACACCTCTTCACACTCAGCTGCTCCCCCTCATTGATGTTTATATTAATTCCATCCTTACCCCTGCCTCAAAGGCCAACCCTGAGGCTACTAACCAGCCAATCACAGAGCAGGAGATTCTCAACGTCTTTCAGGGCCGGGCAGAGGTGGGTGGAGCTTAAAGCTAATTTGCTCTTTAACACAGTTTTTAGATAGTGACTGAACTGTTTCTTTCTCAGTTATGTTTTTTTTATAGGCACTAGGGGTGCGGGGAAAAATCGATTCTTAGATGCATCGCGATGCGGACGTGAACGATTCTGAATCGATTCACAAATGTCAAAAATCGATTTTCTAAATATTTAATTTATAACGTAATGTTGACGGAACACAAAAGGCGGAACTTGGAAGTGCAGCGCCCGGACAGTCTGTAGTGGCACCCAACAAAAACACAACTGGATGAGCGAGAAATCCGACCGGCTCCCTCTGCATTAAAGCCAGGTTAGATCAGGAGTCACAACACGAATCACAAGAAGAGACATGTTGTCCTTTCAACAAAAATCAAACCACCTTGGGAGCCACAACTTTTATGTCCAGTATGTCTCAGTATGTGATAATATCCAAGTTTAGGCTAAACAATATAACCGAAAACGCAGATTTACTTTGCTGTGCTTTAAGCTTCAGCTATAGCCGCTTTCCTCCCATCTCCGCCAGAAAACTTTTCTTCAGAAGTAGATCAGTTAAATGTCTCTCAACGTTCGACTGTTTTACGAGGCTGAAGTCGCTTCTTATTCTCCAGCTTCTTGTTCGAATTTACCCGTTCCACCTTAAATTCTGACTGAGGTGCCGATTGTAAATGCGGCACCATTTAAGGTGGAACGGGAGAATTCGAAAGAGAAGCGACTTCATCTTCGCCACTTTTTAGTGTTTGACAGTCTCTAGTGTTTGACAGTCAACTGCGCTGCTTATAAATGCGAATAACGCATCGCTGCTATGTGACCTGCAGTCTGCACGCCGGTTCTCTGTCGTTGCGAAACAGGGCTTTCGCGCTATGTTGCGCACGATCCGTCTCAAAGATACTTTACTGACACAGCGACCACAACGTCTCTACAACGAGACCAAAACCGAAGTTATAAAATCACTAAAGATAACGGGTAGAATAGCTGTAACGTGCTGCGTGGACATCCACTGCCATTGGATCTTATTTCACCGTAACTGCGCATTTTATCGCATTTTAAGCAGCTTCTCATGCTCCAAACAAGAGCAGTGAATGAGAGCCTTCTAGTTCACTTGCCACATCACTTCCATTTGATTTATTAATAATAGATATTGGAAGTGAATTCAATATGGATCATTACAAATACTTTGCTTTGAAAGTACTGAGTCACTTGAAAATGTATATTGTCTCTATATTCTGTATATATTCTGTGTATATACTGAATGTTTTATTTATTTTTCCTCATTAACTGTATCTCTTAACAGAATGCTTAAAATTGTAACGTCATAGAACATGCAGTATGGTGTAGTGTGCGTCAGTGTTTCTGCTGATAGAGGAGCAATTTTCAATTCGAACATAGAAAAACCTTATATTATTTTGCTGCTTTGAAGGATCTGTTTTAATTCATCACAGATCTGATATTAACTTATTAGTAATGTGTATGTCAGAATGTTACCTACGGCTTCTAACAGCTGTAAAGCGAGTGCTTGTGTCTGTTGCCATGGTAGTGTCAGCTGACACACACTGTAATTGTGTTAAATACTGTATTGATGCTTATCTCTTTATCTCGTCACTTATCTGTGAGCCCTGATGATGTGCAGCTTTGTTCTCCCTTTTACCCTCTGTTTAACCACTTTTAACCTCTGTTTAACCTCTCTCATATACTCTTTATCTCTTTCCCTCCCTCCCTCCCTCTCTCTCCTCTCCCTCCTCCCTCCCTCCCTCCCTCCCTCCCTCCCCCTCCCTCCCTCCCTCTCCCTCTCCCTCTCCCTCCCTCCCTCCCTCTCCCTCTCCCTCCCTCCCTCCCTCCCTCTGCCTCTCCCTCCCTCCCTCTCCCTCTCCCTCCCTCCCTCCCTCTCCCTCTCCCTCCCTCCCTCCCTCTCCCTCTCTCTCCCTCTCCCTCCCTCTCCCTCTCCCTCCATCCCTCCCTCTCCCTCTCCCTCTCTCTCCCTCTCCCTCTCTCTCTCTCTCTCTCTCTCAGGGAGATGGTGGAAAAGGGTGTTCTCAGTATAGCATCACCACTCAACTGTTAATACTTTACTATATCCTGTCTTATGAGGAGGCTCTACTGGCCAACACTAAGGCACTTGGTCAGTATATAACACCGACTAAATTTATGCCACTTGTATTTTCATTTTGTAAATATTTAACTTCTTTTTGTATGTTAGCTTTTTCATTTTGATTTCTTTGTTCTTAACTTATTATTTATGCAGATTCCTTTATCTTTATTTTTGGTAGTGTTCTCAGTTGAGTCAGCTGTACCATCACAATGGACTGCAAGATTTTAAACAGGCATTCTTGAATACACTTTAACTTTATTCTTGAAGCTGCGTGTTGTACATATTGTTTCTCCTTCTTTATGTGTCCACCCCTTTCCAGCTTGTTGCTCTTAGTCATTCTCTCTGCTTACTTCCTTAAGCTATTGAAGATGTGATGGCCTTTGGCAGTGTTAATTAACTGCAGCAAGTGAAAAGTCACCTGTGAACAGGCTGCACTGATAAATTGCAGCTCTGGTTAATTCACTATCTTAACTATACTCCTCGTTTAGCTCTCATGCAAAAGAAGCCCAAATCCTACTCTGCTGCTCTCATGGACCAGATCCCCATCAAGTACCTCATCCACCAGGCCCAAGGCTTACAGCAGGAACTTGGTGGTAAGAGAGTTATTTTTCAGCCAACATCTAAATAAACTGAATAATTATGTAATTGTAGGTACATAGTAATAGTATTTTTTCATGCAGTGTTAAATGTGTATACAGTTTTCTTTTTTGTACTAATTATATTAAGTACCTTCATGTAAACGGTCTCTCTCTCTCTCTCTCTCGCTCTCTCTCTCTCACTCTCACTCTCTCTCTCTCTCTCTCTCTCTCACTCTCACTCTATCTCTCTCTCTCTCTCTCTCACTCTCACTCTATCTCTCCCCCCCCCCGCCCCTTCCCTATCTCACCTCCGTAGGGCTGCATTCTGCTTTGCTGCGACTCTTGGCCACTAACTACCCTCACCTGTGCATGGTGGAGGATTGGATCTGCGAAGAGGAAGTGACTGGCACACTGCCCCTCCTGCGCAGGATGCTGCTCACCACCCCAGCCTTCAAGTACTCGCAAATGCAGGTGCACAAGGGTGAGTGAAGCCTGCACTGACTGAGTCACACTCACAGCCTTAGGCTGTAGTCCCCATTGTGGGACATTTGCAGAAATATTGTTTTGCAGGTGCACATATGGATTTTAATGAAATCAGCTCTCTGGTGTTTGGGTATGGGCAAAGGCTTCTTGATTGTAGTGTTAAAAATGGAAAACTGTGGCCAAAGCAGCAGGTCAACAGCAGCAGAGGGTAGCTTTTGCACTTTCTGTGAATGGCATGCTTCAGACAAACTTATTTGTGAAAGCAAAAGAGCCACAGACTTTCATCTCTAGCACTTCAGAGGCCATGCATAGAGGAGCTTGTATATAACCATAGTGTTGCAATTACGGTCTCTCTGATATTAGCTGTCTGACTTTATATTGTTGATGTGGTGGTGGTGGTCTGAACTTTAGCATTTATGAGTTAGATTCTGACTTGTGGAATGTTACATGTAGAGGATTTTGTTCATAACATAGTCCAACAAAAAATATAAGAAAATGTATTTTTTTAAATAATTTAATTATTAACAGTTTGACATTCTCATTGGTTTCTGATTGTGTTTTAGACAGTAGTTGGTCAACTGCTAAGTTCTCCTTCTACTGTGAAGGCTGATATTTGTGGTCTTTCTACAGCCTTTCAGAATGTGATACAGAGTGGGCACAGGCTAATGAGGATCCTGGAGCACCTGATGCTGCTCAGTGCAGGTGATCTGATCCCTTACGCGGAGGCCATCACAGGAAGCATGGGCTTGCTGCTGGAGGATGGTGTCTCCCGCAGAATCCTGCAAACCGTCAACAAGCTCTGGATGGTGCTCAATACCGTCATGCCTCGTAGGTGAGAGAAGTTTGTGTGTCTGTCTATGTGCGTGCATCTGCATCTCCACATTTAGTTATTAATGTATACCACAGGAGTAAAACTGTTCTAGAATCTAGAGTCTAATACCTTAGGCACTGATTTTCTGAAGTAGTGTGTGTGTGTGTGTGTGTGTGTGTGTGTGTGTGTGTGTGTGCGTGTGTGTATGTGTGTGATATATATATATATAATATATATATATATATATATATACATACTTTAAAGATGTATTTTGTTACAGATTACTTGAAACCTAATCTAAAGGATTACTATATTAAAACAAATGTAATCTGATTACTTTCCATTATTTCTGCATTAATTGTCTTTAATTAAAGATGTTTAATCAAATACTTGACTAGCCATCATGTGTGTCCTGTCTACTAAAAGGCAATATCAGCTCATGAGGTTTCATATTGGTGCGTCGTGCTCGGACTTTGACGATCGTAATTTTTAGATGTTCCATAAAATGCCATGTTACGTAATGCCATTACGCATATGCCGTTACTACCCAATGTTATATTAATATTTCTCACTTTCTCTCAGGCTGTGGGTGATGACAGTGAATGCTTTGCAGCCTTCTGTTAAGCTCCTCAGGCAGCACCGCTACACACAGAATGACTTGCTGGTAGACCCCCTCATTGTGCTCCGCTGTGACCCCAGAGTCTTCAGGTATTCCACATCTTACGCTATTTTGAATAAGACCTTTAATTCTGTAAGATCTTAAGATTTGAGTTCATTGCTTTTTGCTGTCATTAATGAATTAATAAATTAATTAATTAACAATAAGCATGCTAAACATACTTCAGTACTGCAAGCAGAACAAGAATACATTTTAGTGTAAAATTGATAACCACCCTTTCTGCTATAGACACTGAACGTTTGTATTTCTGTTTGTTCGTCTTCAGGTGTCCTCCCCTGATGGACATCACACTTCACATGTTGAATGGATACCTGTTGGCTTCTAAAGCCTACTTGAATGCCCACCTGAAGGAGACCGCTGAGTTTGAACGGCAGACTCAGACAGTCTCAAACCTAGGGCTTACTGGTCAGCCAGACACACCAGAGGTCACCAGGGAGGAGCTGAAAAACGCTTTATTGGCTGCACAGGTACTATACAAACACACTGAAGTAATGCCAGTCAGTAATAAAATTATCAGGCACTCTTAAGGTTGCAATTGGCCTAAATTCTTACATGAAGCTATTTGTTAATAAAATGGGTAAAAAGTGGGAAATGTAGCTATGTTGTGTGGCAAACCTGTGATTTGATATTGTTCTACTTCTGTTTTGATCTCTTCCTTTCTCTTTGTGCCCTTGCAGGACAGTGCAGCAGTGCAGATCCTGTTGGAGGTGTGTCTGCCCTCCTTTCAGGAGGAGCAACAGCTGGGTGCAGGAGGAAATGACAGCTTGCTAAGGAGTGTTCAGTCTGTGTCAAGCCTGTCTGTGAGGGAGCAGGGGAGAGCTGGAGCTTTGCAGGGGCCTCAGGGGTCACAGCAGGGCAAAGCAGAATCCATGGGGGCCCAAGGGGCACAGCAGGTAGATGGGCTGCTCAGCGACCTTAGGGAAGTGCAGTGCCTTATCTGCTGTCTACTGCACCAGATGTTCATTGCAGACCCCAACATTGCCAAACTAGTGCACTTTCAGGTAATTTCTTTGGTGATCTCAGAATACCGTAACCAGTTAGGAAGCTTACATTTTCTCACTTTGCATGTGATAAATCACAAAAAAGAAAGCAATATTACAATTAATTTACATTATAGTTCACTGTTGTTCGTTTCATTTTTTTTTTTTTTGCCCCAAGATAAAATAGGAGTGTGCTGAATGCTGTAATGTGATGTGGATGTTCTCTCTCCAGGGTTATCCTCAGGCCCTTCTTCCTCTGACTGTAGCTGGCATTCCTTCCATGCACATCTGCCTGGATTTCATTCCCGAGCTCCTCGCACAGCCTCAGCTGGAGAAACAGGTACCCTGTCCATTCATCTGTTCCTTTGGTTGTTCATGTCGATTATCCTTATTGTAACTTATCAGTCATAAAAACAGGACCGACTACATTGGTATCGCAAATTTAAAATTTGCCATTTGTTTTGTGTTGTGTTACATTTATCTGCCTTCTCTCACAGATTTTTGCCATCCAGCTGCTGTCTCACTTGTGCACACAGTATGCTCTGCCCAAATCTCTGAGTGTGGCACGTTTAGCTATAAGCGTAATGGGTACTCTACTCACAGGTAAGAATGAAGCATATGTCAGTTTCTCTCCTTTCTTCCCTTGTATGATGAGTGCTGCCCTGTTTTGGTTATTGCCAAACATTACAAAAGCCATTGCTTTGTAAATAAGTTTAAAAATAAATATATTTTTGTACTGTCTGTACCCAGTCCTGATGCATGCCAAGCGCTTTGTGTTCTTCATGCCCACCTTGCCATGCTTGGTGTCGTTCTGCCGGGCATTTCCTCCACTCTACGATGATGTGGCCTCCTTGCTGGTGCAAGTGGGCCAGGTGTGTGCTGCTGATGTTGCCACTAAGGCCCGAGACATTGATCCATTTATTGCCAGTAAGTTTACATTGAATGTAGCTTTGGGTTTATTCAACGTTTACTTAGTTTACCTAGGTTTTTCATTAGAATTGTCCCAGCCAGAGGGGAGGTGATTATTTAGGACTTTTTAAAAAATAAAATGGAAGGAGAAAGGTTGAGAAATTTGCATGTGATATGCAGTATTACATGTGTTTATTAGAAGGCATTGCTAATTGCAAAACATGGTCCCTTTTCTTTTTTCAGGGCTGCAGTATTTCAGTGAGAAAACAAAGAAAGAACTGGGATCAGATGTGGAATTGTCCAAAATGGCTCTGCCTAGGAGATCCGCTGAGGAATTGAGTGGGGCTGACCCTGATGTTCAGCTGTGCTACTGTGTAGAGGCCACCTTCATGGACATCATTAGGTCCAGTATACAGGGACTCTAATAACCTGGAGCAAAGGTTAGGAAAAGTAGTCGTCTTCCATGTTCACTTCCACGTAATGCTAGTCGAGTTAGACTAGCATTATGTGGAAGTGAAGAGTTAGAGTTGCTAAACCGAAAATCATAATTCATTAAAGAAAATAATATCTAAGGCAGTAAGACAGAAATTATGGTAACTGGTAAAAGTTCTTTAAGTTTAGTGCTGAGTTGCCCTTTTATAAAGGCAAGAAAATGTTTCTTAGTACAATAACCCATAGATCTGCTGCACGGTTATATACTGAACAAAAAAATCAACTTCTGATTCTATTATTGGCGGCTAATAATAGAAGAGCAGATAAGTTTTCTCCAGAAAACTGGTTTTGGAGGTTTCCTCAAAACAGTGACATGTATGGGGTGGTAGTGTTTGTCACACTGTTTTTACTTACGAGCGTGTTGCTTGCATTCAGTGGTGGCTAGTGTTATTGGTCTGTTTTCTAGACTGCTTTATAAAGATTATTCCTGTTGTCTAAATCATGTTATTCTCCAAGTGTGAAATCTGGAGTGTTGAAATGTTCTGGTTTTGTATTGTATTCTGCCTTATTTTTGAACATTTGTAATAAAACTTTGAACTCCAAACATACCTTCATAGAAATCGTGTTGCTTATCTTAAAACCAAGATCTTGCAAGTGCATATGAACATAGGAGGGACCATTTAACTTGTAACACTTGTAGAACATTTATTTGAAAATGTGAAGTCTGATTCTAGATTAAGATCAACCACTTAGTGGAATAGTGCTTATATTGACGATTTTGCTCGTCATCAGTGACGTAAATTTTACAGTGAGATACGCTTGTCAGCCATTTGGGGGCACTCTTGCTACGTATTAAAACAGATGTTCAGTTTGCACCGTGCAAAGAGCTTCTCTGAAAGGCAAGCAAGTCAAATGCCAGCGGGGCCTGTGGCCAGTATAATAGTGATTCTCTCTTTGGCAAAGAATGTTTCAAAGCCTTCTTCGATTGTTTCTATAAAACTATGTATTTATATATATTTATACAACTGTTCCTTTAAGCAATGTTAAATGTTTGTCATTTGAAATTTTGCAGTAAATTGACAAAAACCCCATCACCCTGTGAGTGGCACTAGATTGGAATAAATTCAGCCATTTGGCTAGTAATGCGGGGTGAGATTTTTTTTTTCTTTTGGTATTTTTTTTCTAAAGAACAAAAAAAGCAGAGCCCTGATTTTCAACCACAGTAGAGTGCACCTTCATGAACATGCTTAAAGCATCAGTACAAGTACGTGATGACTAAAAAGGTGAACCAAGACAAGGCTAGGAAAAGAGTGTAGTGGTCTTAATCGGGCTCGAGCGGTACTCACATTTGCTTTAAGACAAAATATATAGATCATACTAAGAAAAAAATCGCAGTATATTAGATACGCATATTCATATATACATAGATATGAATATTGCATATATATGCTATACTGCGCATTTGTTTTCTGAGTATGCTTAAGAAAAATATTTTTTGCACAGCCATCAATTCTAAGGGCGACTTTACCCTCAGGGTGCGTTTTTTGTGGTGGTGGGGTGGTGGATGGAGCGGGAGAAGAGATACAATATGAGAGATGAGCGTGTTTCTAAGCAGCAGCCGTGCTCTTTAGAGCTGCACTTTTTTCTGTTGTGCTGTAACTCCGAGCTGCTCTGAACATTGCCTCGGGCTAGCAGAAGGAGACATCACAACTCGGTTTTGTTTTCACTGCGAGGCACTGTCGAGTTTAAACGTCTTCTTCACACAAATCATCTCCATTTTTTCTCCCTTTCGCTCGCCTGTTCTTGCACTCCTGTTTCTCCCTCTATGACAGAGGCAGGTGGGATTGTGTAGAATAAAATTTAAAGTGTTTAAAGAGCTCTTCGAGTGGCTGTGTTAGATTTGACTGAATCTTCGGGAGGTCATAGGCTATCTGATGATTTGCTCATTTGACAGGATATTGAATTATCCGCCTGTGTATGTGGGTCGGAGCGCCGCTGAGCCACAGTGAGTGGGAAGTGAGTGGTTTCGGAACGATTGCGTGTCAGTGAAGCAGATTGACCTTTTGCTTAAGAGGCGTGCTCACGCTGCCTCCCATCGCCTCCAGCCATGCTCGGTATCCAGGAAACAGTGTACTCGAATCAGGATACAGTTATAATGTAATTCATCCTTTGATTTGATAATTGACATCTGCTTAGTGTTTCATTGCTGGCAGCAATGAAAGTTGATATGGGATATTCATGCCATCTTAGGCCAAAAATCCATCTGGTAATGGATTTGAGATTAAATTAATTCAGCCTACACGTCTTTAGAACACACTAACACATCAAGGCCAAATAAAGACCTTGTTGCCCAGACAAAGGTTAAGTCTAGGCATAAACTGAAAAGAAATGTGACTGGGAAATAACCATCAACACTCAGACACAAGGCATAGCTGTTCTCATTAGAAACAGTAGAGCCTGATAGTTTAGGTAGGATCAAGCAACCTTGTTAAGTGATTTTTTAAGCCTGGATAGCCAGACTCAGTACAAGAAGAATCTGCTCCACATTGCATTGCTGATCTCTAAATCCGTGACCAATCAATCAGTAAAGTCTTTGCTGATTTTTAAAAATGCTAGCATTAACCTTTTAAACGGTGAAAATATCGTAGCACCTGAGGTCATGGTGTATGTCTGTATGGAAGAATGAGCATGCGTCTCTGTGTGTGTACGTGTTTCATTTCACGCTGAATAAAAACAAGCTGTGCAACAAGACATGATGCCATTGTTGGTTGCCTCAGTGGGCAAGAGCTATTTACAGGCTCATGGAATTGAATTAACATATTTTGACTGTAGCCTCAATGACCTCGACAGGAGTTTAGTCGACACCTGTTTGCATCACGGTCCGAAGCCCCCCGTCGGTGGGAGCTGTTCAATCTGTGGCTTCGTCACTCACGGTAGGTGGTAAAGCGAGTGCAGCGAGTTCAGCTGCGATAAACAGTTCATGTGAGGTCAGTAAGGTATGTGTTACACTAAAGAGGGGTTAATGGAAAGAACCCTGAGGCCTCTGTAAGGAAATGGCACACTATTCAGCTGAAATTGATTATCTGTCAGTTAAATAAATGCAGTTAACCAAGACTGCTCAGACGGAATTCTAGGCTTACTTAGGCCAGAGTAGGCTTTGTGCTTTGAACTAAAATAATATCCTGCCCTGATTCTCGATGCTGTCTGGACGTCTGCGGGGAAAAAGCATATGTGGTTTAAATTATTATAGTACACAGTGCTTAAATCACAAGCTGAATTATTACTTGTTCCCCATTTATATTAAGTGTGTAAATTTAGTTCAATGAGCCCACTATGAGCAATTTAAAACACCCATTAAAAACCACCGACCTTGTTGACAGCTTTATGCTGTGCGGGGTATCTCCCCCAAACACCAGCGGCACAGGGCACCTCTTGCAGCCCGACAGATGGCTCCGACGCTAAGAGGATATCCATATTAATTGCACAATTACAATGCACTGCATCAAGATTGTCATTAACATTGTGATTGAAAAAGCAATTATGGTTTTTGATTATCATCATCCACTGTAAAACTGTTATTTTGTTGTCGCCTCTGGGTGCCTTTTTTCCCTCCTCCTCTGACAGCAAATTGATCTCCGCAGCGCAAAGTCTGGGAGGCTTGCACTCCTTCCTCACTGGCACTTAATTAGCTAGCATAGCATTAGCATAATCAGCTCCTCGGGGGAGGTGGGGAGAGACAGACACTGCTCTGATGAAGACCTGGGCTCGTATGCATCCTGAATTTTTGACTAAGAGTGCTGATCTGGGATCAGTTTCCTCCTGCTTTGTTACTGTATTAAATAGGGTGTGAATAAGAAAATCAGTCCTAGAATAGCCTATGGCAGAAGTTTGATACATACCAGTGCCTGATGTATTGGATAAAATGCCTAAAGTATCAGTGTGATACTTTGCCATGTCAAAAAAGGAAAGAAGGAGCTCTATGGATAGCACTAATACACTCAATAAATTCAGAAAGAGGAGTGCTGATTTAGTGTCAGTTTTTGGCCTGTTTCAATATACAATTGTATAGTCTGGGCACCCCTGATTTTTGAAGTAAAGAGAAACAAAAAAAACCTCTGCATCAAAATGTTTTTAAAAATGACATTTTTCTGTTAATGCTTTATGTTTGATTAATTAAAAAAAATAAAATTCATTATCCCTTAATTGACTCACTAGGACTGGTTAGGTAGGACAAGAATTGTCATAAGGAAATGTCAGCTGATGACAATTCCAGAGCAAAATAAATTAATCTTCTGACTCTTCAAACCATGTGTTTGCAGCATACACTCTCCAAAATGTCATTTAAAAATGGCAGATAAGGGGAACTGTGAAAGTCAGGGAAAGATCTTGAAGACCAAGAAAACGCTCAAATAGAAATTTTCATACCCTGGCCAGAAAGGCAAAGCATTACACAAATATCTGCATGGAAGAGTCATCAGAAGGAAACCTTACCTGCAACCTCATTAAAAAATCAGCATCTGAAATATGCAAAATAACATTTACAGAGGCCAGAGGCATTTTGGAGACAGTGCGGATGAAGTGAAAATGGAACTCTTTGGTCACAATCACCAAAGGTATGTTTGGAGAAAAAAGGGCAGCATTTAATGGAATGAACTGTTGGGATGGAAGTAAATATATTATGTTTTGGGATTGTGTGGCAGCCAGTGGAACAGGAAACTTTGCACAGGTAGTGCAAAGAATGAATTACATAAAATATCAAAATTTTGGAAGCAAATGTGACACAGTCAGTAAAGAAACTGAAGCTGAAAACTGAGGCTGGCATCTACAACAGGACAGTGATCCAGAACATACCTTAAAATCCACCATAAACTACCTGAAAAATTGAAAATTTGCAAGCTGAAGCTTTCGGAATGGCCCTCACACTCACAGACTTTAGAGTCATTGAAAATCTGTGGGTAGATTTTAAACATGCTGTGCATGCAAAAAATCAACAAAATACATAATTTCCCTGGGGTGTCCAATGTGAAATATTATGCTAAGAAGGTGCTAACTAAATCCCAGCCAGATTTTTCACAGCTATAAACTGGAAAGAGTTTCTTTAAAAAGTGTAAGATGCTTGGTTGCTGAAAAAAGAAGCTTTTGCACTTTAAATCTAAGCCAAAGACTTAAAAAAAGAGACTTTGCATCATTAAAAACTGTCCTTTACTTGAACACAACACAAAATTAGTTTGAGTTACACCTCATAGCTGCAGGCAGTTATACATATGTGCATGCCTAGGCCCTATCTGTAGATGGGATAAAAGACTAATGACAAAGGGAGAAGGTGTATGCTGTATGGGTTGGCATTGTGGAGCAGGCAGGTTCAGCTGGGAAGCTGATGTAAAGGTTTGAGATGAGCTGTTGGGTAAGCTCAGCTGCTGTCTTTGATCCAATCTTCAGTGCTGTTATTACGTCAAGTGCGAAAGCCTCTCTGCACAACAGCTCCGGCTCTGACCCTGGCCTGCTCAGCTGTGAAATCATATCTGTTTTATTCACCTTGTCTGTCTGTATGCAAAAGCAACAAAGCGCTGTTTAAAACCTCTCCAAGGAAGAAGGAGAATGAGTGCTA